TGACTTTTTGTGAAGACTAAATAAATATTCAGTGATTTAAAATTCGCATAAATTTAAATAAATAAAAACAAATTAGAAAAAAAAACAAAATTAAAACAAGAGCTGCTGGTAGTTAAACAAAAACTTAAGAACTGAATATGCATAGTAAAAGTCAACGATTTTGTTTGTGTTTAAGTGCCCGATTGTGCTTACACATTTGTGGCTACCTTAGACCGGGTTAAGGAATTGGGAATATGAGTGGTGTTCCAAGTTTTCACATTTATTTGCATTTTTAAAGTGCTAGAGACTATCGAATTCATAGCAGCCATTTAAAGTTGTGTAAGATAACAAAAGGTTGGAAAGAGATAAAATAGAATAAGAATAAGTCTACCTTTGGTAAGTATTCATAAATTTACAGAGAGAGCTACTAATCGAACTTAAGTAAAATAATCAAATATCTAATTAATTTATAATATAAAATTATCACAAACAAGCCAATCTCTATTTAATTTTATTGTATTTGAAATTCCAGTCATCATGAAAATTCACTTTTAGGCGTAATTGTTGCTTAAGACGTCTTTTATCAGAAAGGTCCACATTTTATAGAAATAAAAAATATAAATTAAGAATTAGACAATCATACAAAAACTTCCCTATCTTACAGTAGTAATATTACTGACTTAATGATCTGAAAAAGGCAGTAATTGCAACCGAAATTCCCCAAGGCAGGACAATTAAAAATCGTTGGTAATTAATCAGACAAAGTACCAAGAGTTCAAGTATTTTGGGAATAAAATACTTCCACATCAACTCTCCGATAAGCAGAGACCGAGTAATTTATGTTCAACTTGGCCCATTAAGAATACAAATCTGAGTACTCCAGCAATGGGCCGCCCTCGCATCCGAAATAATAGAATAATCTATCTATTTTCCGTTGGACACGCAACGCATGAGTCTCATTTTCATGTTTGGCTTTTGCCACACTGTTCATTTAAGCATGTTTTTCTGTTATGGCGCGTACAACTAATTAAGCTATTTTTAAAGAAGGCGAATTTTCCAACGCACGCACAGGGCATCGGCAGATGGGCGTGGTCACGCCCTGCTCGTCGCTGTGTCTGGCAAGATCGCGTGAGGAAAATATAAGAGAGGCAGCTGCGCTCAATTAATGTCATTTTGCTCGCTATTTCAATTTGAAAAATATTTCATATATACTGCAAGCTGACTTGCGAATTGCCAAAACTAAATTAGTTGTATCTATAGAATACACATATACAAAATATCTACATCATAAAAACACAGACACATGACATTGAACTCATTCTAAAAGCCCCTCCCACTTGATTTTGTTTTCGGTTTTTAATTTAGTGCTTGTTTAAATAAAGATCGGCAAAATAAAATTGAAACATTTTTCAACAGCCACATATATAGAATTTTTGAGCAGAATTTTTTGGGGCTGCATTTGGAAATTTATAACCTCCTTTAACAAATTTATCGAGGCTATTATTAGACATGACTGGCACGAGCTGGATTAATTGTTAAATCCACATCTCCACGGCAATATTCATACCGCACTATGCCGAAGTTGAGTTAATTCTGTCTGGCTTGAGTTTATGTCTCCCCAGGGTGGAATTTAATGCGCTATTTTGCCTCCATTGTAAGTTCTCGGCTTGGTTTTTATGGCCAACGAATGCACTTTACACCTAGGCCATAAAATCATTCATTAAAACGGGGAAGACGCCTTATTAGTCCAACAGATTAGACAAATTTCAATCAAGTGCGTGCGCCAATGATTTACGGGCTAGACGGAAAGTGAAGAGTGACCTAAATAGGACAATTTAAAACAGTTCTGTATATTTAATATTAGATGCATTTAATAAAGGGCGTGTGTTGTAGATTTATGAAATCAAAAGCAAGCGCAATGGTTTTATATAACAATACAGATTTCCCAATTAAAAACGAAAATCTCATTCTGGGCGAACTTCTTTCACACATTTGAGTAAACCATTTTTAAAATCCGAAGGCGCCAACCGAAAGGTTGTAAACAAAACATTTTGTTTTGTCTAATTAAAGCTCACAAATTAGATAAACAGTGAGAAATATTCTGTATTATAAAGATGCTTGTAATCCGCTGGGAAACAATTCGACGTGTATTTATAGTGCGAATAAATCCGAACCTCGAGCTAATAAATTTATTGATGTGCTGTAGACAAACAAGTTTCGTCACCAAAAAAAATAAATGGTAGCCTCAATAAAAAACCCACAAAACGGCAAATATAAATTATGAAATTCAGCATTCTGCCAATGGGTGCCTAATTTGCATTGGCGCCAAGGAGCAGAAAAAAAACAAGGGATAAGTAATTTATGGTCATCGCAATGAGAATTAATTAGGGGCTTTGGGGCTTACCTGATCTTGACAAAAGTATCCGAATCCAATGATGCCGGCGATGGCCAGAAAAAGACAAAATACAATGATTGTTCGTATTTTGGAGCGCGGTTCCATTTTCTTGATTTCATAAACTCCACTGGGTAGCAATAAGGCAAAATCACTATCGACTTGAACAGATACGTTCTTATGCATATCCACGGGCATGTTCCATTCCCTGGCCTCCACCTAATCGCACCAGACCATCAAAGGTCCACCCGAACCCACAACCTGCCGCGAATCGGAGGCGAGGCCAACTCAATCATACTGCAGTCGTTGCCCGATAAGAATGCTGAAAATGGGAACACCCTCGCCCATCATAGTCAGCGCGGAAGTGGGTTTCCTTGTCCCAAGTTTTCCAGTAAACTGCAAGTAGAGCGAGTGGAAAATGGTTAATGTGAGTTTTTGGAAGCTCTTAAATTATTAGCACCCTAATTCCGGCTAGTTACCACTTGACCGGGCAGATAAGGGGGTCTGTCAAACTGTCTAGCTCTTATCGGAGCACTTACTTCGAAAGTGAAAGCTTTTCAAAGAGAACATAAACAATTCAAAGGAATTTAGTTATAGTCTTGACTGATAAGACGTTCCTAATTTATTAGTTTAAATAAGATTCTTATTTCTTATTTCACGGAAATAAAATTGAAATTTAAAAATCTTTCGCTATTTTAACCCATAGGTTAAAATTGCAGACATGGCGTGAAATTTCTGCTTGTGCATTAAAAAATGATCTTTATTTGTGTGGGAAATCTTGAAATAGATTGCACAAGCAACTGCGATCTGCGAAATATATAGCATTAAGATAAAACACATAAATCAGAAATGCATGGCGGAAGAGTAGGATGTACAAATGAGAAAAAAAAACAAACGAATTCTGTAGACTCTAACCTAAATCATATATAGACTAAAGTTGACTGCGTTAAAATTAAAAAAAATTAAAAAGCTGATAATAAAGGTTTTTATTAAATTATAAATAATAAACACAATCTATACATTGAGCACACTTTGTTTTATTGATTTACTTATATAACAATTGGTGACTCTTTATCAATTATAGAAATCCCAATGTTATTGTAACAATTATATATATTAAAACAAATTGTAAAAGTTATAATGTCTTTCAGTTAGGTTTGTTTTGTATGTTGGACTTCACACCTGAGGACTAATAGTTAAGCACCCACTTCAACAGGAAGTGTATTTAAATGTAGTAAAATCCAACTAGCCGGCAATCGGTAGTCAGTGTGACGCCCAAACCGCTGCTGCTGCTGTTTTAAATGTAGGCGCTTTAATTTTGCCAAGATCGCAATTGTTGTAAACAAATGGCAAGAGTTGCTTATTGGAAACATGGAAAAAAAGCGGGGGAACCAGACAAAAAAACGCAGATGTGGCGAAACATGTTGCCAGGCAACAATAACAAACGATGTGGACACATGGCCATTCAATTCACTTCGCTGTACTCTAAACTACTCTTAAAACATTGCTAATTGACTAACTAAATTATCAGTTTCAGCCATGCAGTGACGTCAGTGCAAAGAGCATAATTATATTAATAGAACCAAACGATTTTGCAACATCGCAATACAAAAATACTAACAAAGAGGAACAATAAAAACAGAGAGATGGCAATCGAAAGAGAGAGGGAGCGTGCAACCAGACAGAGCGAGATGGAAAACAACAGCTGTTTTGCTGTCCAACAACCAAATTGGCCAAATTGAAGAAATTTACCCAGATTTCACTCACTTTTCACTGGCCAACTGGCGTGTTTGTTGACTTTTCACAATTATCGCGGCGTCACACGTTTATTTATTTACACATCTCTGCGTTTAAGGCGCTCGCACGTCCGTTTAGCGGGCTTTCCGCTTTGTGCCACCCTTTCGGAGACGGCCACCAAAAAAAGCCCGCAATTTGCTCTTGTGTCTGTTTGCAACGCGCCTAACGATCGTTTTTCATGCACTTTGCACTGTTCACCAGCTATTGTTTGGTAATTGGTCACTTTTTAAGCGTTTTGCGTGAGTTTTTTACGAATTTCTTAGATAACAGAACGCGAAGCCAACGGCCAACGTCCGTTTTCTTCAAAATCGGCGAATGAACTAAACAAAACGGAACTGCACAAGTTGGACCTCTGAAACAGCTGACGGGGCTGCCAGACTAATCGGGTAGGTGAAATGAACAAAGCAAATCTGCGCATGCTGGACAGCTGACAGGGCTGCCATACGGTTCCCGTTCTTCGTGGTGGAAAGGGGTGCCAGCTCCAATTTAAACAATTAATTAATTAATTATTAAAAAAAACACTTTTAATGCAAACAGAAAAATATTATTAACCTCCATTAAAAATTTGTTAAATATTTATTTTACTTATATATAAAAATGTTCTTTTTAATATAATAAAGTGATAAATTCCGCAAAAAATTAAGTTATAAAATAAAATTGAATACTAACCCTACCACAAATTAGAAACTGTATATGTATATTAGATTTTTTAAAAGTCATACGTAACAAATACAACACAATTTTAAAGACTCAATTTAACTTTTTGTATTAAGCCAACTAGACAGCCCTATTCGATGCCCACGAATTGACCTATCGATAACAGCAGGTCGATAGTCATAACAAACTGCAGGAAAGGAAGAAGAGTGGCGAAAAACAGACAAGATAGTTTGCATTATTTGCCACAAGTTTTCGCATTTAAAGCCAACTCCCAACTCTCCGGGCTGACGATGGAGGTGGACCAGATGCCTCTGGCCGACGTGGTCTTCATCATTGAGGGCAGCGCCATCAACGGCGCGTACATCAACGAGCTCAAGACCAACTATATTCTGCCGACGCTGGAGCACTTCACCACTGGCTCCATTGACGAGCGGGAGTATCTCATCGCAGAGCGTTTCGCCACGCTGTACGGGATCGTGGTCTACCGCACCGCGGCCAATCTGCTGGAGCCCGTGTGCACCACCTACGGACCCTTCCTGCAGCCCCAGAAAGTAATGGAGACGATCGAACGCCTACCGCTGGTTGGAGGCGGAATGGAGTCCTGTGCCCACATGGCTGAGGGATTTGCCGCGGCCCACGGTTGCTTCGACGACATTAGCGAAAGGCGCCAACTGCTTGACCAGACCAACGTCCAGCGGCACTGCATCCTGATCTGCAACAGTCCACCGTACCAGATGCCCACCACGGAATCGTGGAAGTATCCGGGCAAGTCCTGCGAGCAGCTGGCGGCGCTGTTTAACGAGCGAAAGATCAATCTCTCTATCATTGCTCCCCGCAAGATGCCGGTGCTGTTTAAGTTGTTCATGAAAGCCGACGGAGATCAACCGATTACCAGCAAGAACTATGCCAAGAACATCCGGCACCTAGTGCTGCTCAAGGGATACAGCCTCAAGGAGCGAGCTCCCAGTCCCAACAGCATGGCGGCCCAGATGGCTGCTCCCAACGCTGCCCAAGCTGCAGTGCAGCAGCAGCAACAGAACCCAGCCGCTCAGCAGCAATCAGGCCAGGGCATGTCCATGGACACTACGCCCGCTCAACAGCAGCAGCAGCAGCAGCAGCAGCAACAACAACAACAGCAGCAGCAGCAAGGCAATCCCCAGGTCATGAACATGAATTCGATGCAGCAACAGCAGCCAGGTCAAAATCCTCAGGCCGGCCTTCTTAATCCTCAGCAGCAACAACTCTTGCAGCAACAGCAACAACAACAGCAGCAGAATCAATTTGTGCCCAACCAGATGCAGAATCCCAATTTCCAGCAAAACGTGGTGCCCGGCCAAAACCGTTGGATGTATCCCAATCAGCCGGGACAGGCCCGTCCGCAGTTCATGCAGGGCGCAGGCAATGTAGGCGGTGTCGGCCAAGGCGGTGGCATGCAACAGAATCCCAACTCTGCTCTAATCTCGCGCATTAATGCGCCACCGCCAAACCAAACTGTGACTTCGCTGCAGCAGCAGCAACAGCAGCAGGCACAGCAGCAACAGGCCCAACAGCAACAACAACAGAGGATGCAGTTGCTCAACCAGCAACAGATGCTCAACCACCAGCAATTGCAACAGCAACAACAACAGTTGGCCCAGCAGCAACAACAACAACAACAGGGCAACCCCAATGCCGGCAACAACATGATGCCGTCGGGCAATGCAGGCAATATGCCCAATCCACAGCAACAACAAGTGGGACAGCAGTCAAATCCCCAACAGCAAGGCAATCCCCAGCAGCAACAGCAGCCGAATTCGCAGCAGGAGCAGGCCTCCCTGAGGGAAAAGATCTGGACCGGAATTCTGGAGTGGTCAGAGAAGCCGAAGTCGGATCAGCAAAAGATTCCGCACACGCTCCAGTGCACCGTCTGCACCAACATCAAAGACGGCGAGCCTGAGATCAAGGCTGAGAACTGGCCGCCCAAGCTGTTGATGCAATTGATGCCCAAGCATTTGGTGGGCAACATCGGCGGCCAGTTCCTGAAGGACTCTAAGATGGTTGTTTTTCGACCGACTCCGGGAGAAGCACTTGACTCGCTGGCCAAGATGATGACTTCGGGATACGCTGGCTGCGTTCACTTCTCCTCCATTCCCAACCTGCCCGCCTGTGAGCTCAAGGTCCTCATCCTGCTGTACACGCCCGATCGCAACGCCTTCCTGGGCTTCATCCCGAACAATCAGGCGATGTTCGTGGAGCGTCTGCGCAAAGTCATCCAGCAGAAACAGCATGGCAACATGCAACAGCAACAAATGATGCAGCAGCAGGGCAAGTCGCCCATGGAGCTGCAGCAGCAACAGCAACAACAACAGCAGCAGCAGCAACAAATGCAGCAGGACAACTCGCAGCAACAGCACTACAACCAGTACCAGCTCAATATGCAGATGGGCGGAGGAGGTCCGGGCGGAGGACCGGGTCCTGGGCCCGGCGGCATGCCCATGCAGCAGAACCAGATGCAGATGAACATGATGCAGCAACAGCGAATGCCGCTCGGCGTGGGCGTTGGTCCCGGTGGCGTGCCTAATCCTAATCTCCAGCAGCAGCTGCAACAGGTGGCGCCCAACGTGGCCGCCATGCAGCAGCAGCAGCAGGCGCAACAACAGCAACAGCGCATGGTTCGACCCATGATGAGCAACAACAATCCCGGACTTCGCCAGCTCCTGCAGCACCAGACCACGCCAGGCAACCAGTTCCGCCCGCAGATGGGCGGCCAGAATCCTAACCAAATGGGAGCCGGCGGTCCAATGGTCGGCAATCGCAACTTTGACGACGGTAGCTACGAGTTCAATATGTAGGTTCCTTCAAAAGGTCGTATTGCTAAATAGAATTAAATTTCCTATCGCGAAGTCTCAATACAGGGGTTCCGAATACCTGTAAAGGTTTTCCCGTCGGTTAGTTATTAAAATTTCCCAAAACTAAAACATTAAACCGCAATTACTTTTGTCACTTTCATCATATATCGTTTATTTTATTAGTTAAAATCAAGATTGATGGACGTAACGTAGGGCTAATATTAATCACAGAACACAATCCCCTCAAGAAGCCAACTAATTTGCTGCACCGCCGCCGCCCGAAGACGCGGTACTGGCATTTCCAGCGCTGGCAGCGAATAGCTTTCGAAGGTTCTGCAAAATTCCAAAGAGAACCGTGCCCGCAGTGCCCAAAGTCTCCAGGACATCGAAGCCCGTGCTGTCGATGGCCGTCTCCCGGTCCTCCTCCGTTTCGATTGCGGGCGAGCTGATGTTCCCGGCGGGATGATGCGTTTCGTGGACGCCATGGTGTCCGATCAGCCGATGGGTGTTGCTCTTAACATGGGTGTCATTGACTCCGCCGCCGCCCACCGCATTGATCAAGTGCTTGACCGGCTCCAGGACGGGAATATTGAGCTTGACGCGATGCCAGGCATCCGGTGATTCGGTGAGGCCCTCGTGCTGCTCCCCAGTGGCCTCCACCTCATCGTCTAGCTTGTTGCGTTCACTGACCGGCTCGTCATCCGTCTCCAAGGATAACTCCAGACTCATATTCCCCTTACCCGGCAGTTGCAGCAAACTGCCGAAGAGAACCTGCAACTGTGCCGAGTTCACAGCCTCCGCCTCATTTCGCTCGAAGTCGAACTCCTCACGGGCTCCAGTTTTCGGTTTTTGGTCCACAAAGCTGGTCACATGTTGCATTCCATTAGTAGGCTTGGATTCACTGGAGTTGGCCGGCTTGGCGGACGTCGTCGTCAACAGCAGCAGCCACACAAACTGCAGATACATACGGGAGATGTGGAATCTTTAAATGGCGCTTAATGACCGACCACACGTACGTAAATGAATATTAAATACGATCGATAATAAGGCTTTCTATATTCAAATCCGAGCGCACACGCGTCTCTGGACCTTGAAATCGTTCTAAAAGATATGACAGTACTGCAAATCACGGATGAGTTTTTTGGACCTATCATACATGCCTGTCTGTATTGTTTGAAGTTACAAAAAAAATCGCAAATAGGGGCTGATCGAAAATTTCTAAGAATTTTTTTTTAAGAACGTTGAAACGTTTGAGTTATTTTTTTCTTTACAAAGGTAATACCAATTTAATAAACTATGTAAATAAGCTTTGTACGGGACTAAATTTGTTTTGATCGGTTTAACTTTTACTATATATAAAACAAATATTAAACATGTATTGGAGAGTCACCAAGGCTCAAAAACTGCCCAATTTTTTTATTACATTAAATAAAAGCACATTTCTGAAATTAAAAATAAAAATTTCTCTCCCACAAATATTGCAGAAGAAATATCAAAAGGTTAGCAATAAATATTAACAAAAATCTATGCTTGACCTACAAAAAAATTAATTAGTTTCTGAGTCACTATTTGTTTCTGAAAAAAACCCCACGTTATGAATTGAACCACCATCAAGTTGCCTATTCGACAACAATGCCAAGTGTATGCTTACATTTAAAAATACAATAAAACATATGGAACTATATGTGGAGCTGGTCAATCGCAACATTGTCAATGAAATACACGGATCTAGCACTTGGCTAGAAAACGAAACTGAAACTGAAACCGAACTCGGTGCCGAAACCGCAGCCAGCAAAAGCAAAAATCGAACTAAAATCGAACGAATGACCAACAAGTACTTGGGTGACCAGAGCCCAGCTGAAGGCAGTCTGCCGGTCAGCAATTAATTAATATGCAGCAGGGGTAGGGGCAATTGTGGTGCCTAAACTTAATTCACAATGCATTTAGAGGCCTCCGAAAAAAGTCGATTCTCTGTGATTCCACATGTATGAAATATAGATCCACAGGTATGAAATATGGCATCCTAACTCTATAAAATTATGGACTAATAGGTTTTATCAAGGACTTTGAGATCGATTTGAATTTCACATCGGATAAAAGCGAAATTTAAAGGAAAACAGCAGGCCGTAGATTTAAGTTCAGACTCGTATTTCATTTATCTGATTCAGTTTCAGCACAGCCCTCAGCTGGCACAACCTTTTTTAAACCTTAAAAAAAATTCGATCAAAATTCAAAATTTCCAAATTTTAGTTCTAGACCATTCGATTCCTTTGCTTGTTTAAGGATGCGCTTGTTTGGAAGAATAACACACTTTATACAGGTAAGTAAGAAATTGGATTAATTAATGGCAGAGATAGTTAATAAGAAAATGGATAAGCTAATGGCACAATGACTATTAATAAGAGATAGTTATGTTAGTTTATTCTCGGCGCTGTTCTTAAGGGGTTTTTAAATGTTTTCTGAATTTAGATGATTAAAATAAGTACAATTAGAAATAAATATTCAATTTGTAGAAAGAAAAATCTGAAGAAAAAAAATCTGTTTTAAATTTTTAAATGCAAACTTTTTTCTTTTTTATGTAGTATTGAAATACGGAAAGATGGGCAGACAACGTAGAATTAGTAGGCTCCCAATTTGTATGTAAGCCTGTCACTGGTTTCGATTCTCAGTTTCCTTCTTCACGTCTTACACTCCACACTAATTTTCGGTTTCTCCCTTCTAATCAAAGTGAAATTCTACCGTGATTACCTTATGCATTCTTGATAAAGCAAAAAATAAATTCTTAACACATTAATATATAAAATGCCACGGATATTCGGCAGCCTTTCGTCTAATCGTTTTGGACTGCATCTCTTGCAGATATCGCGATGTCTCAGCTACCATGCTCCACCACTCTTCCGGCCACGCAGCCTGCTCCATGCCGAGCGATTGGGGCAGCTGTGCAGTAGTGCCACCTACGGACCCAAGTCGACGGGTCGCATCCGGAAATATTCGCAGAAGGGCAACAGTGTCTTCTCGATCAGCGATAATGTGGACATGCTGCGCAAGAGGATCAGCTGCACCGGCACTTCTGGTCAAGCGCCCAAGATCCTGCCCATTGGCCTGATCACACCGGAAACGGGCGATGGCAAGGACCTGAAGATCGTCATCGTGCCTCTGGACCTGTCCGGCATGGATGCCAATGCACTGAAGGATACGCTGGATACCATCAACGAGCTGAGGCTGTACGCCAACCACATCGAGGCCTTCTCCAGCAGCATGGTCGAGGAATACAGTGCGTTGAACGAGGCCCTTCAGGATGTGAAATCCGAGGACCAGTCCGAAGGAGTCAAGGCGGAAGATCTCAAGTTCTGGGAGACCTTCCCCTCCGCGACAGCGTCGGACGTCGATGCCGTGGGAACCACCGTGGACGCGGGCCTGGGTGCCACCAACATGCCCATGCAACGCCATGCAGCGGTCAGTAGCTGCCTCCAGAACGCTATGGGCAATCCTGGAGCTGCCAATCCTTCGCTGAAAACCACCAAGGCCATGTCGGCACTTTCCCAGGCCAAACCGGTTACGAAATCTACGCTGGAAGCTAATCTCACGGAGTTCGCCGTCCAGGATGAGGACTTTGTGGAGGAGGTGCGAGTGGATGTGCCGCAGGATCTGACCGATCGGCTGAACGATATGGCCGTCACGTCCATGGAGCTGTCGTTTGAGATGGACATGACCAGCCTGCGTGATGCCCTGGACAACAAGGGCTCAAATGCAGTCACCCGGCAGGATCCCATGATCTGTATGCACACTAAGGTGGAGCTAGACGCGTCCGGAACAGTGGAACAAACGGTCCCGCTCAGGTTCAACGCCTTGATCTCTGGGGTCGTGGAGATCGATAGCCAGAAACTGAATTCCGCCCAACTGACGGACGACAAGATGCCCGGCTTCAATGATGACCTCACCACGCTGGCAGCCAACCTTTGCAGCACCGCCTTGGAGAGGGGTTTCTCGGGAAACTCGAAAAACTCGGACACCTACATTGCCGATCTTGAACTGACCAAGGGTGAGCAGGCCTTTCCGACCAAAATCATCGATACGTCCTTCATGTCGGCGGCCACCCAAATAGGACATCAGCGGGAAGCCCAACAGAAGATCGCCGAAGAGGCCTCCGCTTTGCCGGGCATCCAGGAGGTGGAGGTGCCGGTTCCAGTGGACAAGGATGGCTGCAAGAATCCACCCGTGAAGCCCAAGCGCAAGTGTCCTGGCAAATGTCCCCTGATCACTGATCCCTGCAAGGATGATCCCTGCGAGCGTCCGGAAAAGAAGAAAGCGCCCAAGAAAAAGGCCGAAAGTACCACGGAGATAACGTCCATGGCCAAGGGAGGCGACAAGAAGGATCCTTGTGCAAAGGACGGCAAAGGCAAGGACAAGAAGAAAGACCCGTGTGCCAAGTTCAAGAAGGGTGGCAACGATGGCGACAAGAAGGATGGTTGTGACAAGGACAAAAAGAAGGATCCCTGTGCCAAGGACAAGAAAAAGGAGGATCCTTGTGCCAAGAAAGACGATAAGAAAAAGAAGGATCCTTGCGCCAAATTTAAGTCCGGGGAGAAGAAAGATCCTTGTGCAAAGGACAAGAAAAAGGAGGATCCTTGTGCTAAAAAGAAGGACCCATGTGCCAAGAAAGACGAAAAGAAAAAGGATCCTTGCGCTAAGAAAGATGACAAGAAAAAGGATCCCTGTGCCAAGAAGGACGAAAAGAAAAAGGATCCTTGCCCTAAGAAAGATGATAAGAAAAAGGAGGACCCTTGCGCTAAAAAGAAGGATCCATGTGCCAAAAAGGATGACAAGAAAAAGGATCCTTGCGCAAAGAAAGATGACAAGAAAAAGAAGGATCCTTGCGCAAAGAAAGATGACAAGAAAAAGAAGGATCCTTGCGCAAAGAAAGATGACAAGAAAAAGAAGGATCCTTGCGCAAAGAAAGATGACAAGAAAAAGAAGGATCCTTGCGCAAAGAAAGATGACAAGAAAAAGAAGGATCCTTGTGCAAAGAAAGATGACAAGAAAAAGAAGGATCCTTGCGCAAAGAAAGATGACAAGAAAAAGAAGGATCCTTGCGCAAAGAAAGATGACAAGAAAAAGAAGGATCCTTGCGCAAAGAAAGATGAGAAGAAAAAGGATCCTTGCGCAAAGAAAGATGACAAGAAAAAGAAAGATCCTTGCGCTAAGTTCAAGAAAGGCGGCAAAGATGGCAAGGACAAGTGCAAGTTTTCCACCTTTTCAAGGCGCTACTTGTCCACTGCTCTGGACCAGGTCTTCCGCGAATCCGATGCCGCTCCTGGTGGTCCCCGCTTCCATGTCTACTCCACTCTTGTGCGCCGTCACTATCGTGTCCCTGCTGCCAAGACCCACGATCTCTGCCAGTGTTCCCTATGCCAGAAGCTCCAGCTCCACAAGGCAACTGCTCCGGCCAAGTTCACGATCAACAGCGCCTTCCTGCGACGACGCTTCAGTGGACTGACGAACAAGATCCTGCCCGGAGGCCTGGCCAATGCCAACTGGCGGGGAAAGAAGGACAAGAAGGGCGGCAAGTGCGGCCAGATGGCGCCCAAGTACCCCAAGAGCCGTGGCAAGGACATCAAGGAGCGGACTGGTCTCCGCGAGGATTGCTTCAAAGACGAGGACGGCGGTTGTGGCGTCAAGAGCTGCACCGGCAAATGCGCCAAGGTCAAGTTCCCTAAAAAGAAGTGCGAGCGCAAGGAGAAAAAGGATGATGGTGCGTAGAAATGCAGTTCGTAGTGGCCATCGGTATCCACAGGTCGGTCTTCTCTCCCCAAGGCAGAATAGACAGTCTCTTGGCCCGGAATGCGCTTGTCCAACTGCAGCCGCAGCGGAGATCCCTCAGCACGCGGGTCTGTTGCCATCCAAAGTCGGAGGATAACCACATTCTGGCTCAACAGGCATATGCGTTGCAAATTTCCAAGTCCTACGAGATCAAAGTGGTTCCCGTTTCAAGACCTTCACCAAAGGATTTCGGTAAGAAAAATCTTCTAAATTTAAAATTACAGCTTTTACAATGGTCAATAATATTGATTAATAATATATAAAGGACTAGAAGAATTCCACCTAATTGGTATTCTAAACTAAACTAAAACTAACATAGTTGACGATTAATAATTTGCTTTTGCTAATTTGATTATAATGTAGAATGTAGTCCTTACAATTTAGGATTGTTTAATTTGAATGTTTCTCCCAAATTTCATTACAAACAGATGTCCTCATTCGAACGGGTTCAGTGGCCATCTCGAACTCCGATATCCATGTCTATGAGAACGGCAACCGCGACGTGGAGGCCATGTCCTTGGGCCACGATGCCACGGGAATTGTGGAGGAAGTGGGTCGGTGCGTCCACCATCTGCACGTGGGTGACCGCGTGGTCGTGGAGTCTGCGTTGTCGTGCGGCATCTGCGAGTTGTGCAAACAGGGGTTGTACAACATGTGCTCCAGTCTGGTGTACAATGGCTTTCTGAGCACCTACCAAACGCATCCGGCGGACCTGTGCCACCGGCTTCCCCCTTCCATCAGCATGGAGGAGGGTGCCCTGACCCAAACCCTTGCCCTGGGCTGTCAGGCATGCTTCAAGGGCAACATCACGCCCACCAGCAACGTCCTGATCCTGGGATCCTGTCCAACGGCAGTGGCGGCGGGCATATGCGCCAAGGCCATCGGGGCCAAGCGTGTAGCCATTGCCGGATGTATGGCTCCCGCGCTGGATGTGGTGGCCCGGGACTTTGGGTTCCAGGCGGTCGAGTTCGACAGCAACGCCCTGTTCGGCGAGGTGCTGGAGGCCATCTACAGCAAGTTCCAGGACTGGCCCAGCTGCGTCATCAACTGCTCCATATCGGCCATGACGATGAATCTGGCGGTGATGGCCCTTCAGCCATGTGGCGTCTGCGTGCTGGCTGAATGCGATTCGGAGTGTGCCAGCTTCAATGCCCTGGACGTTCTGATGAAGAACATCCGCCTGGTGCCCAGTTTTCGGTCCGCCAATATGTGGGTTAACTAATCAGTAACTCAAATTACCCATTTTAGCCTGTTATCTCCTTTGACTTCATAGGTATCCCACTGCCCTGCAACTCATGCGATCTGGTCGAGCACCAATGCACAAGTTCATCACGAACACATATCCATTAAGCAGGGCGGACGAGGCCTTCCGAACTGCCCAGCACGAGTCCAACATTGGGCTGGGGAAGATCATTGTTAACTGTGCGGAAGAAGTGGATTTTGGAGATAGTCTGGGGAAAAATACCAAATCGGCAACGTAGAAAATTATGATTGTAACAGCTGTATAGAAGACCGCATCAAAGAATTCTATTATACTTAAAGATCACTTTGTGTTTTCGATTTCAAATTGGGAACGGAAATAAAACAATAAATTTTAAGTATTGCAACAAAAATCGCTTCGCATTTTACTAAGTTCTGCGTGGGCCCATAAAACAATTAATTTGAAAGTGCGCTCATTAAAATACTTTAAATAAATATTCTTTAACAGATTTCTATGATCTAACCTCTCTGGCTCATCAATTGATTTGTTTCTGTATACATACGTTCATATACATATATATTTATGTAAATATATTTTATAAAATTATTATTGTACTTCGCTGCTTACAACAAACTATTTTACAATTTTACAAGAACGAAAGTGACTTGCTAAAGGTGTGTATGCTAAAGGGGGGAATAAATGTACACGAAACGGAAATGAAAATAACATAATCTAGCAACACTAATAATAGCGCATACATTTTTTAATTTTTAAGCATTTGACTACATCGCACACTTTGGAACATTGCTTGGACTGAGTATAAATAATAATTAGAGCTAACTAATAAGATTTAAAGATATGCCAGTTTGTATGTGAGTGTGGAACTAGTTAATGGACTGTTTTGTGGTTTCGGTTGCCTATGGTACTGCCGCTTTGCCGGTTTTTTGTTCCCTGGTTGGTTTGGATATAGCTTTCCAATTACTATCGATCATTTGGCCAACAGTAGTTACAAACATATATACTAGTAGAATCGTCAGAGACTAAAATAAAAACCACTCGCTCTGCCCCCTGGAGCATCCGATCGTGAAGGTAGTTTGTCTTTTGGTGTTCATTCGTATCCATTCCCTTGCTAGTTGTCATGTATCTGCATTTCCAGTTCCACATCCGACAGATTTATCAGCCGCATCGAGTTGATGAACATGTAGCGCGAAGTGTATATGTAGAGCCAGCGAAACCACCTCATCTGCGACTGATGCTCCTTCATCGCGCTCCTCACAATCGCAGCCTCCTTCCAGTTAAGAATGCACCTAAATAACAAAACACTCGCATTGGGATTTCTATAGTATTCGGGCCACATTTCATACCAATGCGTAGACATAAAGCACGTGCAGAGCAGATCGAGGATGGATAGATATTTTCTGACCACATTGATCGAGTCCAAGGTGTAGAACTTGCAATCTGCATTGGGAAGATACATAAAAAATTGCTGTATACTATAATATCTAAAACTATTAATAGCGACAACTGCAACGATGGGCACGCCAATTAACATGCACCCATTGTTTGCATCCGCCGCCACCCGCGTGACTCACACGCCGCCTCACCTTTGGGCAAAAGGTTGGCCAAACAGAGCGAAGCGGCCGCGTAGTACACGGCACAATGGTTCGGATGTGAGCTGACGCCATCGCGATCAAACGTGAATATCGCCTGGATGTCGAGGCTTTCGACGGCGTGCAGTATCAGGCTGGCCACCGCATCCGGGCGCCAGTCCACATAGGGGTCGTCCGGCAGGTTGGTGGCATTCATCAACACGATGTTCGACTCCGGAATTCCCAGTTTCGAGCAGGAGCGCCACAGTTCCTGACGCCGCACCTTGGCCTTGTGCTCGAAGTTGCCTGTACGAGAAATACCATTAATAAATGCAATTCTTTAATATTTAAATTAATAAAATATACTTAGCTAACTTATTATATTTATATATGATATGAAATCTATAATTCTATATAAATCTATGAAATTAATTTTAAGTTTCCGAATTTAAATTGATTTAAGCGAATTTTGAATATAAACTAATTTGACTTGTGGTTTTGTGTGGCAAAACATTTATTAATAGCTTGAGTGAAAAAGATCGACCCAAAACATTTATATAAAATAAATATGTATGTATCTGTTTTTTACTCCCAAAAATAATAATCCTTTGATTGTAAATCAATATTTATGGGTTTGTATTGTACCTAAACCAAGTATATGCAAAAAAAAAAAATAAAACAATTCTGAATTGAACAAATTTTGGAACCTACATGATGGTCCTAAAGCTATACTTTCTGAAAGAAAGTAAATAAATTTTATGGAAGGAGCATTCCCTACAAGCACTGCTTGTAAAATAGGATTTACCAAAACCCTAAACGGGGTAAAACAATTACTCTTCTAACTAAACATAAATAAATATGCCTTATGGGATTAAATTGCAGGGGATCTATTGATGGTCGTAGCCATTTGGGAGCACTAAAGCCTAATAGAGATTCGCTACTGCTTTCGAAACGTGTAGTTTCGCTTAATGCCTCCGTATCTATAATGGTTATAGGATGATGTCACTTGCTGGTAGGCTCTCACCGTTGGACAGGCATAGTATGTACACCTGGCAGCCTTGGCGCTGCGTCAGCGAGTAGATCAGCGGTCCGAAGAACATGCACTCGTCATCCGGATGGGCAGTGATCAGCAGGACGCGCTCCATGTGCGCCTTTTTGGGCAGCCGGACGCTACGCAGCCGGAGGCCGGATTGAAGGGCCTGCTTCAGGCCGCCACCCGCCTCCTGATTTGGATTCCGGTCTCCGCTGTCGTCGCCGGATCTGGATCCTCCGGCATTGTTGTTGTCGCTGGGCGCTCTGGATTCCGAGAGCCAGAAGGTGAGCTTGTAGAGGCCAAGGCATACTAGCAAGTACACCGCACAGGCAATCAGTACGTGCTCCAGTGCTTCGGCGGATGAGGACCTGATACGGCAGTAGATGGCCTGCGGATTGGGGACGAGCTGCTGCACCTGATGCACCTGCTGCTGCAGTTGGCGCCACGGAGAGGTCGATGCGATGCTGCTTAATGTGCTGGCCACGTACTCGCTCAGCCAGTTAAATCTCATCTCTCATTGCGTCCGGCCAAGGGCGAGAATTTTGGCGAGAAATTCTTCACCAAAAATGGACATGCAGCGGTTTTCGGCAGCAAGGAAAAGCGGAAAGGCGGCGATTGCGGCGATTACGGTGCTCGGGCGGGTACTTAAACTATGTCACTAAGTGGACGTGTTGCTTAATCGGTAGTTTAATACTTGAAAACGTTTGGTTACGAGCCCGCGCGCCTCTTAATCGGCTAATTTCTGCATTTTAATCGAAAACTTTACGTGTTTTCGCCTTTCGGGGGCAGCAGCTAGCGATGGTCGACTGTCGTGGTGCGTGGCAGGTGCGTGAGTCACGACGATTTATCAAGTTTTCCGTTACGCTTTTTATAGACCTGTCAGGTGCGCCGTGCATTTATAAAGGTTAAATTATGAAATTAGCACTCGAATAAATTGATAAACACTTTTCTGCCATTCATCGTACGTTCGCTATTAAAGCGTCGTGAGAACGCTGTGGTCCATCTCTAGCGGTCAGCTGTTTGGCCTTAGTGATGCAGAAGGGGTATTCTTGGCAATTTGTGAAACTCAAAAGTATCTAAGTCACTACATATAGAAATGATTTTACTAAGTTGAGCCACATAAAATTAAACCTACAACTCCTTAATTAAATTAATTAATTAAACTTAGTATTTTTATGTGTGCTTAAATTTTAGTGAAATATAAATTATATCTAATTTTTAACTAACTGTTAAAATTAAGTAAATCACCTTGCTAATGTTCAAAGTTAAAAATTAGCTTTTATTTGTTTTTTAAGCTTGCTTTATATAAATATCTAAATTAATAAAAATAAACAAAATCTATAATGCAGCTCTAAACAAATTTGTCTCATTAAGAATTAAAACAGTGATTTTTCTGTGAACACCCCTACTTTTTGCACTCCTTGCCAGTAAAATACTAAAAAAAATACCGCCCGAAAATACCAGCGACCGCTCTCTCCTCTCTGAACATGCAGTCTGAGGTTTTTTTATTTTGAATCAAATTTAAAGTCACTAATTTCTATGAAATTAAGCATTTAATTAGCCTTTGACCGAGCGATTCGTTTGTCCAAGAGCCAGCCGCCCGACCCCCGACCACCCAATCATTGCGGGCAGCCCAAGGAGAGGCCCCGATAAGTAAAAGCCAGAAATCGGAAAACCGACAGCGTGCCGCAAGCCAAAGAGAGCGGATCTCAGTGCGAGGTGCATGCAGCACGTTGTAATTAGGTTAGCAGCATATAGCAGCACCACATAACACACTAACATGGCACAGCAGCAGCAGGGCATGGACTCGGCCTTGTTCGAGCGGCGACTGCGGCCGGTCTACGGTGAGTGTGCCTTGGAACTCGGATGGCCCGCCAATCCGTTAGTCAGGTCTCGCATATTAACCCCAATCCTCATCCGCAGACAACCTGGAAGTGGGCAACAACCGCAAGGCACTGCAGGAGTCCGAGAAGCTGCTCCGGAAACATCCCACCCTGCTCTGCGCCCGTGCCCTGAAGGGTCTCTCCCTCCTCCGACTAGGTCGTTACGACGAGAGCCACGGATGCCTCCAGACGGTCGCCGAGGAGAAGCCCACGGACGACTCCACGTTGCAGGTGCTATCCTTCTGCTACCGCGAAATGGAACAACGTACGTATGGGTCGGACTTTGTCCAGAGGATTAGATGGCTAGGAGTTAAAACAACTTTGTCACGGGAGAAGTATTGACAATTGTGAACTAAGTGCCCTATGTACCCTATCCACTGGATAAATAAGAGAAACATGGCACGATTATTTATTGGATAAAGCAAAGATAAATAAGATAAAGTTCAAAGGCGTTTTCTGTCAAATATCTCGGTTAGGGAACTTCGACAATATATGAAAACTATCTTTAATAACTTGGCTTAGAAAACTTTGACTTCCATGAAAGATATGAAATTAATATTTAATATAATTATGACATTATTTAAGCTTAACAAATAGTTGAAAAATAATATTACTTGTTACGTCAGTAATAAAGATATGTAAATATAGGTTAAATTTATTATTTATGCAATTTCGAAAATGTTAAAAGTTATATTTGCTGGTTAAATTACTTTCTAAAAAAGAAATTATAATATATATTTAAACAAGTTCATTAGTATTTCCTAACAAAGATGCGAATAGATTTTTGTAAAATGAATAGATTTTATTTAAAATAGATGTATGTTTTCCGTCAGTCAATAATATGTTTCGTCTTAAAAAAAAAGAAAATGGTTTTAAGTGAAAAAATTTGGATTTATGCCTCATTTTTTAATATATATAATTTTCTTCATCAAAAAACAAACAAATTTTCGACAACAAAATTTATGCCTTAATAAAACAAATAATAGTATAACAGTGCCAGAACATATTCGACAGTTTATCTTAATCAAGTCCGAATACTTTAACAAAAAACATCTGGAACCACTCATTTTCTTATTCCCACATCCGCCGATTCGCATCCACTAAGTTTAACCCCCAGGGACGCCCATGGCACGCACACGAAGTGCCCACAATTCATATTTTCGTACTTTCTTGGCACGCGCACCTCGCCCGACTAATTAAAATCGCATTCTACTAGTCGGACGACGGTGGCAAGTGCGTGCCAACGATCTGAATATATATATTGTACCTGCTAAAGAAATTGCTAATTATATATACATACCTCCGCCTCTTTGCAGTGGATAAAATTGTGGAGCTGTACCAGCACGCGGTAAAGCAGAATCCCGGCAACGAGGAGCTGCTCGCCCACCTCTTCATCTCGCATGTTAGAGTGGAGGACTACAAGGCGCAGCAGGCGGTGGCCCTGCAACTGTACAAGGCCCAGCCAAAGAACGCCTACTACTTTTGGTCCGTGATCAGTGTAGTCTTCCAGGGGATTCGAGGACCGGAGTCGGCGCTGCCCGAGAAGCGGAAAATCTATCTGGGGCTGGCGCAGCGCATGGTCGACAAGCACATCAAGGAGGGCAAGTTGGAGACGGAGCAGGAGGCCTTCCTCTATCTGCACATCCTTAAGCTACAGAACAAGTTCCAGGAGGCGTGGGAATTCCTCACTGGCGAGCTGTGCGCCAAGCTCTATCCGGGTGCTCCAGTCAGCATGAAGTTCGAGCTGCTCAAGGAACTGGGTAACTGGCGGGAGCTGAATGAGCTGCTGCAGCAGCTCCTTGACGCAGAGTGAGTTCTGTTGAACCTTAGAAAAATTCATACATAAATGTTTCATAAATTCCTTAGTCGTGACCGCTGGGACTTCTACAAGGAGTACATCCAAAGTTCGTTTGAGTTGCTGAAACATGCGCCACAGGCTGAGGAAAACGGGGAGAAGGATTCGCTGGCCAGATGTCAGGAGTTCCTTCAGGGCATCATCGATTCCTCGGAGCGCAAGAAACGGGGTCCCTATCTGGCGCGTTTGGAACTCCACCAGCGCATGCGAGCTGACCAACTGCCGGCGGAAAAGCTCGTCGGCGACTTCGACGAGTTGGTCATCGAGTACTTCCGTCTGTTTGGCGACAAATCCTGCTGCACCCATGATATCGCCTTGTTCTTGCCTTCGATCAGCATGAAGCAGCGGCAGGCGTTGGCCAGCAAGTTGCTGTTGGAGAGCGGAGTCAGCTCCACGTCGCTTCCGAAGAATGTTAGTAAAACCGAATTACAAGTAAAACTATTTATTAAACAATTTGTGTTAAATTCTTACAGAAGGAGCAGATGCAAAAGCACCTTTGCGCTCTGCAAATCTCGCGGATGTGCGGCTCCCATATGGAGCTGCCCGTGGACCACCTGCTTGCCTTCTACACGGCCCTCAAGCTGCACTACGAACACGGCCGGAGTACTTTCGGCAAGAAGCTGCTGTCCACGGAAATGGGACCATCGGATGCATATGCCCTGCTGGCGGCGAATGTAATGTACGACCTGAGTAGACGAGAAAACAAGTCGGATCACCTGTTCGAGGCGCTGTGCCTGCTGCAGTACGTCCTGCGAAACAGCACGAGTAACTTCCACGTGAAGCTGCTGAGTCTGAAGATCTATCATCTGTTTGGCTGCCAGGTGGGCGCCCAGGAGATGTACGAGTACCTGGACATCAAGCAGATCCAGCTGGACTCTATGGGCTATGTGCACTGCCAGTTGCTGCCGCTGGGCGGTCGTTTCTCGGGTACCCGGAATGTGTACGATGCTACTCTGAAGTTCTTCACCAACAGTTACAAGGAACGCCTGGAGTACATTGCTTTGACCTATCGCTTCTGCACCTTTTCCAAGATGGAGGAGTTCATGAACTTCAAGGAACGCTTGACCAACAGCTTGCAATACGTGGCCTGCTCGGTTGAGGCGCAGATCTGCGACCTAGTCAGTTGCTATGGCAATATCCAGCAGAACCTGACAGCATATGCCGCCATGAGCATTGAGCCGGCGGAGGACCGGATCGCCTGGCATGAGCTGAGCGACAATCGCGACTTAGAGGCTGTCATCCGCTGGGATCCCCTTCACGAGGTGGATGCTGCCGAAGAGCGCAAGGAGTCCTTCGACCAAGAAGTAGAGGTGCTGCAGGTGCGATCGCTGATGCTCCGACTGTTTGCCTCCTTTGTTGACTTGTATCACGGCGCCGGCTCGAAAGATTCGCCAGCGGGAGCGGAGGCCGCCACCCTGGAACTCCTGCGCGAGTCCTGGACGGGACTATTCCAGCGACTGCGTCTCATGAACTACAAGCCGTTGGCGCAAAAGTTTCTAGTCAATCTGCTGCCCACACGCCTTCACCTGCTGCTCGATCTGCCGTACGAACGCTTCTTTGACGACCTGGCCCAACTGGTCCTTGACCTGCAGTGCGGATCCGGAAAGCTGGCCGAGCAGTGCAAGAGGGTGGGCGACAATGTCATCACGGTTATGGAGCTGTGCGTGCAGACCATCAACGAAAGCAACGAGTGCAACGGCATGGACGGTCTGTGGAAGCGGCGGGCGCAGCAGCAGAAGGTGGCTGCCAGTCTGGAGGTACGTTCTTGAAAGTGCAGCCCATAAAGTGATCTTTATTCAATCCTAAATACTCTTTCAACGTATTGCTGCTCCAGATGCTATCCCTCTATGCCTTCCTGCTGTCCGTGCTAAACGACAAGCTGCAGGTCAGCTCGAAGACCAAGTCCAAGAAGAGGCCGGTGGACAACAAGTTGGATGGTCCCCAGCCGATCAGTGAGAAGGAGAGAAGCCAGATGTTGCAAGAGCTGATGCGACAGCTCAAGCACAAACTTGAGTCCTGCGACGCGGCCATACGTAAGTAGATCTGTTATATTTGTTTATTGTAAGAAATGCTTACATTAATCCGCAATGCTCCTTAATCCGCAGGCACCTGGAAAGCACCGGTGCTGCCACGCGACCTCAGCTCCTTCATGTCGGACATGTCGCTGAAGCCGGAGGTGGAGGCCACGCTCATCGGAGATGTTTCAGCCACCTTTAAGGACTCGCACGAGATGATGGTCACCGAGTTGCGCAATCTGCTAAAGGACAAGATACGCATGGTGGCCAAGTAGATGCCTCTTTGCTGTGCAAAGACCATCGGCCACTCCGGCCAGTCCGGCCATCGCTGCCCAATCACGATCCAAGTTCATAGTTTGTTATTTAATTTTGTTAACGAATACAACCGACCTCCTACTCCTCCCACACTTTAATCATCTCGAACACCAGAGCCAACTCAGCAATTTTCAATCAATTTTCGGCATTTTTCTCGTACAACATATAAAAAGTTGTAAAATTTGTAAAACAAGAATTAAAAACAAAAAACCAAACAAAGAAAAAAGATTGCGTACCGCTTGCGAGTAAGTTAAATAAAAGAAGAAATTGTAAAAAAAGATACAAAAAAACTACGTTTTTAATTTATTTTCAACCTAAAAACAAAACTTAGTTACTTAAACAATATATAAAGAAATTATTTATCCTAAAGCCCTATTCTCTATAAATTTTCAAAGTCATCATTTGTATACTCATTTTCTAATCATATATTTTCGTCTTTAAAAAATTGTTATTAATTTTCCTTACTACTAAAAATATACTCATACTAAAATGATGTCCTTAGGCAATTGCTGAAGTATTTCCCACTTTGGTCGTATTTAGATAGTCAGCCAATCGCGGATCATTGAGATGCTGTTGGGTCTGCAGGTGGGCCACAAGATTGTGAATGCGAGCAAAGCTCTTGCCGCATAGCCGACATCTTTTGGGAGATATAAATTAATAAAATAAATAAGGCTTGAGTTCAAATTATATCCACTTACGTGTGAGGTTTTTCTCCCGTGTGCGTTTTGTAGTGAACCTTGAGGACACTGGCGTAGGTAAAGGTTTTTCCACAGGTCTGGCAAGAATAAGGACGCTCATTTCGATGAGTTCTGTAGGGGATACATGTTCATATAAGTTATTGTTGAGAAATAAACCCAATTCATGATTATTTCAGGTCATATCATATAGAAGTGCAGTAAAAAATAAAATGAAAAGCATAAAGTGTAAACTTTTAAAATGAATATACCACTGTTATTCTAGACATTTAACTTTTTGGACAACGAATTTCTTGTTTCTTGTTTGACCTCAACAAATTGTATTTCAAGTCAAGAAGAAACCGGATCTTTAATGTATTGCATTATAATAGAGAAGCAATTTCAAGTTGTCTACCTTTCATGCTTGACTAGAGAAGTGCGATCTGCGAAGTTGCGATGGCAATATTCGCAAGTGTATGGCTTTGCTCCTGTGTGCTGGCGAATGTGGCGCTTCAACTGGTAGTTGACGTGAAAGCACTTGTGGCAGATCCTAAAAGGAGGCGATTTAGATATGTTGAAACATAGATAGTAGCGAAGAACACCACTCTTACTCGCATTCGTAGGGTCGCTCGTTGTTGTGCCTTCGCATGTGGGTGTCCAGGGTGCTTTTCCGTTGATATCCGTTGCCACAGGTGTCGCACACATAAAGTTTACCGCTGACTGCAGGCACAGCAGGAGGATTAGGTGGGGGACTAGGAGCAGGAACTAGAGGAGGAACCGTTTGCACAACCAAAACCATGGGCTTATCCACATCCGCAGGTGGCGGTGTGGTCTCCTCCATAAGATCTTCGGTGGACCAAGCTCCCTCCTCAAGCACCTCCACCTCCAGTTGTTCGTACTGGCCAGTTTCCACAGGAGGAGGAGGAGTAGGTGACTTAGTTGTATCCCCTGTCTCAGCCACATCCTTTACCACTGGACCACCCGTTACCACATATTTCTTAAGAAATTCGTTGGAACGCTGGCAAATCTGACGGAATTTGTGGGCCAGGGAAAGAAAGGCCTTGCATCTAAAGCAGATCCTGGTGGGCAGGTCCTCAGTGGGTTTTATCTGTAAGTAAACACTGGGTTCTTACAAAGTTAAATAGAATTCAACCGCACTGACTCACCTGAATTCCGCTTAAAGTTTCGATTTTCTCGCAGAGAGAAATACCACTGTGAAGCTTGTCATCCGCATCGTAAATGGAGACCATGTGGGCCTCACCATCCTGCAGACAGGTCCTGCAAAGGGTCACCATGTCCAGTCGTAGCTCCATTTAAATCCAACGAATGTCACGACCAAAATTAACGATCAAAATAACTCTGCTTCCTCTTTGCAATTTTGCCATTCGACGATATTCATCGCTAGACCATTTGACATTCGCCCCGAAGCCGCATAATTTGTAATTGTTTTGGTCCAATCGTTTTGGTAATTTGGATTTTTGACTTGTGATAACAGAAGAATGCTTCCCGACAAGGAGAACAATGATTTGCAGTGTCGCATCTGCCTGCTGCAACCGAAGGATGAGTCCCTCATGCCCACAGATCCGGATTTCCCGGAGCAAATAAAACGATGCACGGGTGTTGAGGTAAGTTTCCAAATGGGTTTGTTATGGTTTACCCTGTGACCAATAAAAACTTGATTTCGTATCCCCAGTTGAGTAAGAACCCCAACTGGCCAAATCACATTTGCACAAGCTGCGCTTTGCTCCTTAGGGCGGCCCTCAAACTCCGATCCCTTTGCCAGGAGGCGGAGAAGGTGCTCCTGAAGACAGAGGAGCAGAAGGTTCACATTCAAATAATACGCAGCGACCAGGAAATTGAGCTGTATAAGGAGTCCAAGGATCTCAGCGACAGCGAGGTGGAGTACGAGTACCTGGAACCGTACGATGTGACCCTGGAGAGCGGCGAAGAGGCCGCCTGTAGTGCCGACGAGTTGGTCAGCATCGAACCCACTAACTCTGCCCCAGAGGAGTCCATCTTTTCACTGAGTCCCAAAGCGGAAGCCTGTGGTGAAGAGGACTCCAGCCATGCACCATCATTTGCCTGTAACATATGCCAGAATGTCTACACGAACCGCTTGAAGTTGACAACCCACATGAAGCTCCACAGCACTGAGAAACCACACGAGTGCGAGTAAGCTGATGCTTTGGTTTATAGGCATTCGCTTAAAGATTAATGCACATATCTTGCAGGATCTGCCATAAACGATTCCGGCAGACACCGCAGCTGGCGAGGCACATGAACACCCACACTGGCAATCGTCCCTACAAGTGTGACTACTGCGACGCCAGCTTTGCAGATCCATCCACGCGCATCAAGCATCAGAGGTCAGTATAATTTAATATTTCCTAAAGGTGTCGATAACTGAAACAAGAAATCTCTATATAAGAATTTTAAATGAAAACATTTAGCTAGGTTTTCATAAGTTATGACAGCAAAGGGCTGTAAAGCATACTCTTTAAAACCTTATATTACCTTTAATACAATTTAGGATCCACACCAATGAAAGACCGTACAAGTGTAAGTTCTGCAGCAAGTCCTTCGCCTACTCAAATGTGCTCCGGGTGCATCTAAAAACGCACACGGGTGAGCGACCATTCAGCTGCCAGTACTGCCAGAAGACTTTCTCCCAACTGCACCACAAAAACGCCCATGAAAAATCGCACAAACCCAAAAAAGACCTGGAAATGTGGGGATGACTAGTAAGAGAAACTTTGTAATACATAGACACAAATTTGTTTTTAGACATAGTTCTTTTAAAATTACCATAGTAACTAAATGCCATGGCAACGAAATATAAATCTTAAAAAGCACAAATATAGAAAAAATTGTATCATTGTAATAAGTAGTTTTTAAAGGGTTTAAACATAGATACATATATAATTTTTGTTTTATTCTGCATATTTAATGGAAAAAACATTAGTTTTAGATCCTAACTTATGCCACAAACTGTTGGATGCAAAGCTTTAACAATGGCTATTTAAATCCTAATACTAAAGATGCTTATTCTATTAATTTACAATAATTCCTTGTTCGGTTATTTATACGAGGGGAAATCAACTATGGAACTCCTGCTCCTCTTCCTTTACTTCCTCTCCCTCGGCAGCCATTTCCACATCAGCCTTCCAGGAACAAGCGCCGCGCCTTTCGTGCGTCCCCCGATGCAAACGCATCTTGTAGGCCTTTACAAAGCCCTTGCCACAAAGATCACAACTGGAAAAGGATGAGGACTATTCAAGCAGATCAAAGGAACAGCAGTGAAAAACTTACACATGTGGTTTCTCCCCTGTGTGGATCATCTTGTGGAACTTCAGGTTGTCCGAGTAGGTAAAGGTTCTGGAGCACACATCGCATTCATAGGGGCGCTCCTTGGTGTGAATTCTGGGAAGGTTTACATTTTGTTAGTTTTCTTGATTTGTTTGATTAGTTCACTGCAGAAGTGCTGATTATATAATGTACCTATGATGTTTGGTTTTGGTGGATCGATCCGCGAAGGCAGCTGGACAGTAGTTGCACTTGTAGGGCCGGTTCCCCGTGTGCGTGTTCATGTGTCGCACCAGCTGCTGATTTTGGATAAAACCTCGTCCGCAGATCCTGCAGAACAATGTGTCATTAGCAAGTGATACCATTTATTTGGTCAATTTAAACTCACTCGCATTCGTGAGGCTTGACGCCCGAATGGAATTTCATGTGCTCGGTGAGGCGGGCCTGTGTGGGATAGATGTTCCCGCATACGTCACATATATAGCTGCTCAGCTTGTTGCGGGGCTTCCTGCCCAGCTTCTTTTTGCCGGTTTCATCTTCTTGGCTAGATATGTTGGCTGGAGCCGTCTTTCTGCTCGATCGCTGGCGGCTTGCAGGCGGCTTAGTAGTTGTTATGGTCTCCGGCACATAGCTTTCATCGGAGCTAAGTATATCCTGGCATAGGTCATCGTCTGCAACTTCTTCCTTGACCACATTGCTCTCGGCGGTTTCACTTAAAGTAGCGGTGTTCTCGCTGGTGAGCAGCTCGTATTCCTCATAAACCGCATACGGTTCCGCCTCTTCGATCACGGTCTGCTTCACATCGAAAACCGCCTGCGTGGGATCCTCCCCATCGAACAAAATAGTTTCGTCACCTTCTGCACCCTCCACTACGTAGGTAATAACCTGCTGTTGCTGTTGTTCAACCGGCTGACACTCCTCCTTCGCCACCTTAAAACTGTCATCCATTTGGCTGGTGTCCTCCTCCCAAATCTTGACAACGCTCTCCACCGTAAGGTCGTCCGAGAGTTCAAGGTGTTGGTCCTCGCCGGGAGCACTCGATTTGATGGCCTCCCGCTCCAACATATCCATGATGTGCTGATGGGATCGCTGGCAGGTCAGGCGGAACTTGTAGCTCAGTCGCAGGCAGCGCACGCACTTGCTGCACATCTTGTCTGGAAATTTGTCATCCAGACTGACCTATTCCGTATGATATTCACCAATTAAACTGCTAAACAACCCAGTAGTCCTACTTACAGGTATGCCTGCGCAAATGTGCAGCATTTGGTCCAGGCGTGTGGTGGCCGTTTGGCTGAATATGTCGTGGAGCAGCTCCTCACCCTCGCCGGGATTGTTCAGGCAGACGCGACACACAATCCACTTCTCGTTGGACTCCGTTTTCATGGCGACTTACTATTGTTTATTGTTATTTAGACGCAGTTTAGGGAAGAACACAAGTTCCAACAGCTGAATGCAAGCGTCCGGGTGCCACTCACAACGAAACGTGGTCATTGCGATGGTACAGTGAGTATCGGATTGAAGATTGCTTTTCAATTTAAACCGAAAATAGAATTAACATGTACTTGAAACAACATAGTGTTTTACTGTCCGTAATTTAAAATAGAATTTGTCATGTTTTAACCATACCTATGTTTCTATTGCTCATAATAAAATTAATGCAGGAAAATAATTAAATTATTAAGCTTTAAATTTAAGTTATTGGCTAAATTTTTTTTTTATCGTTTTAAAACCGATACATTAAATGGGTTCAATACAGACAATATAATTGTTAGACAGTCTTAATTTATTAAGGATGTCAAAAAAATAAAAAATAAAAATGTCAGCATTAAAAGGATACAATTTGAAATTTATTTATATTTAAGTAAAACAAAACACCCTTAATGCTAACACGGCAAATGCAGTGGTCACCCTGTTCCACTGCCATTCGCGTTGCAACGCAACCATCTTGCCTCCAGAGTACATTATATTTTTTTGGCGTCGTCTTCGTCCAGCGAGGGTGTTCATCGAAATATTAAAGCGGAGAATAGGAATCCGGAATAGATTAACGTTCTATTCGCAACAATGAGAGACTCGGCGGCACAAGCGAGTCCGGCGGCGGCGCCAGCGGCCACGCAGAAGTGGATCGTTTGCCGGGTTTGCCTGCAGCAGCCTAAGGAGCCCATGGCCAGCATTTTTCACGACGACGCGGAGAAGGACCTGACCAACATGATCCGGGAGTGCGGCGGAGTGCCCGTAAGCACGTCCTACTCTTCCCCGCACAGTCTTATATCCCCGCAATCTCTTTCCCAGATCAAGCAGTTCGACCACTATCCAGACAAGATTTGCGAGAAGTGCTTCAGGGTGCTGAAAATGGCTTTCAAGTTCCGGGAGACCTGCCAGCGATCCTACGGTCACCTGCGGCAGTTTGTGGGTCCCGTGGAGGTGGAGCAGCGAACGCCGGAGAAGAAGAGTGAAGAGCAAGCCCCCAAATTGGAGCAGGAGTCCGAGGAGACGGAGCAAGAGCAGGAACACGAGGAGGAAGAAGAGGAGGAGGACCTGGACGAGAGTCAATACACTGAGGCCGAGGCGGACGAATCCGCGGAGGCTCAGGGCGGCGTCTTTAACGACGAACTCGAGGAGGGCATCCTCGTGGAATTGGAAAAGGATCGAATTGTACATGTGAAGAGTGAACAGGTGGAGGAGGACGGCATCATCGAGGAGGTTTACGACGTGTACGAGACCTACGAGGGCGATATCATCACAGAGCAGGGCACCTACGACCAGGAAGTGGCTGATCAGTCGCTCTCCGAGCTGTCAGCGGACATCGAGTACTTGGACCAGGTCGATCAGGATCAGTTGACCGAAAGTGCCCACGAAGACGAGGTGGAAGGCGACATGAACTCAACCGAGGAGGAGTTCGTCCCCACCAAAAGTATTCTAGCCTCCCTCAATGCCCGAGGCGGCAATAAGCGGAGAGCCAATCCCCGCAGGGCAGCCGCGTCCGCATCCTCAGCACCGGTGCCTGCAGCATCGGGCACCGGCTCCTCAAAGACCGCCGCTCGCGGCAATCCGCTTAAAGTGCGGCGGGGCAACAGTAATGCGGCTGCCACCAAGATCGTCATCAACTCCGAAGAGGGCGTCTCCATCGGAGAGGTGCTGGCGCGGAAGCACGCCGGCATCAAAACCAAGGGCGGTCACAAGATCCTCGTCGGTGACAAGAAGGAGTTCAAGTACATCTGCGACGTCTGCGGCAACATGTATCCCTCGCAGAGTCGTCTCACCGAGCACATCAAGGTTCACTCCGGCGTGAAGCCGCACGAGTGCGAGTAAGTTATTGAGAGAGATTTATCGTGAAGATGTTTTCAGTTCGAAATGGCTAGGAAAAATAGTAATTTTGTTGTTACTGATTTAATATCTTAAATTTGAAATTTTTTAAATTAGAGACTATTTCTGAAAGTTAGATTTATGTATATTTTCTAAATTTCTGTTTACCTTAACTTAGTTTCAGAGTTTATGATTGGTAAATTGTTTTTATAATACAAATATAACTTTTTTGTTCTAGGTTTTATTACCAAATGAGCATTTTTCTAATAAGAATTTGTTATTTTCAGGATCTGTGGTCACTGTTTTGCACAGGCTCAGCAACTAGCGCGTCACATGAACACCCACACTGGAAATCGACCGTACAAGTGCAGCTACTGCCCGGCAGCCTTTGCGGATCTGTCCACCCGCAACAAGCACCACAGGTGAGTTGGTAAACGAATGGAAAACAAGACGACCTGATTCTAAAACTATCTCCTTCAGGATCCACACAAATGAGCGTCCCTATGAGTGCGATGTTTGCCACAAGACATTTACCTACACCAACACATTGAAGTTCCACAAGATGATTCATACGGGAGAGAAGCCGCATGTGTAAGTTTAGCTTTCCCTGGCAAATACAGTCCAAGTTCTCTAGCACGAACTTTCACTATAGGGGATTCACTATTATGTATTCCAGATATCATACTATACTAGATGTTAACATTGTCACCTTTAGTTTTGTTTTCTTTATGTTGTTTAAAAGTTTTCTTGAGCAACTAAGATTTAACAACATGATGTACAAAAATGCATAAAAGCAATTTAAATTCAGAAATAGTTTAACCGAAAGTAAGCCATATTTTTGTCCTTGTGGATTCTTTTTGACTCATAATTAATAGTAGTTTAGTTATGTTTCATAGATTATTTTTAATGTGGCTAAACAGTTGATATTGCTAAATTAAATGTAAACTTTCCGTTCTTCCTCCAGTTGCGAAGTGTGCGGCAAGGGCTTCCCGCAGGCGTACAAGCTGCGCAACCACCGGATAATCCACGAGCGACGCGGTCAATCCGCCCGGGAATCCGTCAGCGGGCTGATGCCATACGATACGGCCAATATTGTGGGCCTGGAGATTTAAATTTCGAGCGAGGACTCCTCGTCGTTCCAAAGCGACATTTTAAATATTAAACAGACACACTCGTGTAATTACACATCTAAGTATATTGATGAAATTTAAGCCTAGCCTAATTATGCGGAAATAAATTAAGTATAGCTGCGCAGATGGTCTTGGCGTCGGTCTCCTCCGGATAGAGCTGCAGTACGGCGTGCACCTGGTGCGGCGGAAAAAGGCTGCCCAGGTGATAGCGGAGCAGACGGCGCTGCTCCTCCCGCGGCAGTTGCTGCGAGGCGTGCAGCTCCTCGTTTATGCGCGAATCGGAGGCGGACAGATGGGCGAAGTTGTGAGCGGGCAGTGGCAGACCCAATCCCTGATCCGTGACCGGGGCGGATGGCGTGCGAGTCAGATACTGATGGTGATAGGTGGAGCTGGAGTTGGACTGCTGATGCTGCTGTTGCACCTGCTGATGCTGCTGCTGCTGCTGCTGCTGCTGGAGTGGAGCACTGTATGTGGGCACCAGGAGGCGGTATGCGGGCGGCGGCTGTTGGCGCTGCAGCTTCTTATGGCGATTCGGCTGGCTGGATTCCATGGACCCTTCGGACAGCTCCATTTGCGCTGAGAAGCCCTGGCACACCTGCTCGATCGTATTGGACTTGGTGCGGCCCAATGGCTCCCGGCTAATCGGTGAGTTGATCTTGACATTGTTGTTGTTTCCACCCGGACTGATCATCTGCTGACCACCATTCGTGTGCAGTGGAGCACTGTGTGAGGCCTGGAGTGGCAGACGCTGCAGCAGCGGACCCTGGTTGTGGTGCCGGAACTTGCACTTTTGCCCGTAGGTGCACTTCTTGCCATAGGGACACAGCTGCTGGGCATCCGCCATCTTCTGTTGCGTTTGGGAGCACAGGAACAGGTCCAGATTTGGACCCGATCTGCCCAACGGATCATCGGGCGGCATGAAGATGTCATTCACAAACGAGTACATTAGCAGGCGCTCCTGCACGACGCGCCGGAACTCGTTGCTCTCCAGGATCAGATCCCTGTAATTGTCGTTGGACACCACAATGCCATCGGTTTCCACGGCCAGCTTGAGTATGAATCGATCATCGTAGCAGGACACCCGCTTGCCATCTAGGTGTCGCGATGGCGTGAACACCAAGTACCTTTCGTGCTCCAGCTCGTAGAGCAGCTCCTGGTCGGCGATATTGTTGTTCGCCAGCTCCTTGCGCCAATTGGGCACAAAGGCGGTGATGTCGCGATGACCCCGCTGCCGGAACCAATCCACACAGATGCGGATGCCGCGGCAGGAGAAGATCACGTTGTTCCCGTGCGACAGGGCCACATTACTGCCATCGATAACGATGTGTCGCAGGGCGGAGATGTTGCTGCCGGCTGGGTTGGGCGAGCAGGCGGAGGAGGAGGAGGAGGACATGGTGGATGGATTACCGCCTCCGATGTGGGCGGGTCGTGGTGCATCTGCTGTCAGCTTGATCAGCTCCGCCAGCAGCTCATTCTGCTTGGCCTCCGAACCCAGACGCGTCAACGCCGAGTGGATGGACTGCTCGCTGTAGCCCAGCTTCTTGGCAAACTCCAGATTCTGGCGCTCCGTCGTCCGGCTGCAAATCTCATCGTCGTCGGAGCAGCTCTCCTGCTTTCTCACTGGCAACTTGTTGCTGCTGCCGTGATGTTGTTGCTGCTGTTGCTGTTGTTGTTGCTGCTGCTGCTGATGTTTTTGTTGCTCCTGCACTTCACAGTTCATTTTGATGCGCATTTAATTGACCAGCGGCTGGCTTTCCTTCAGCTGCTCACTTCTACTGTGCGGGAACTCCGATTTGTTGTGTTTTTAGCTGTCTCTTCAGCAAGTTCCGTCTATTTACATTTACAGACTTCCGTGTTGTTGTTGTTTTTGTTGGTGCTTGCTGGCGAGCAGTGTGACCAGAGGCTGGGCAACGAAAAAACCCCTCCGTTCTGCGCTCTCTTAAGCTGGTCACATAGCAGTTGTAACGGTTTTTGAACTTATTTTAAATTGAGAAACCCATGTATGACTTACAAATTATAACATTTAGGTTCTCAACATAAAAGACATTTGCAATACATTAAATTTATTAAGTACTTAGCTGGATATGCTTAATTTAGCTTTTTTGTTTCTAAATAACAGTTTTGAAAAACTATGAAGTTAAATTAAACAAAGCCAATCAAACGAAATACCAGAAAATATTGAGCCTGCGCTTTTTTCGAAGAAACCATTTCGTCTTTTATTGTTATTCGAAACCCATAAAAAAACAACACTTTTTTTTCATTTCTATTAACGTTTTTATTATACTCCTTTATTGCATTTATTTTTAAATATTTGCTTATATGCAAAGTAAAACTTTTCTTTTAATTAAAACCCCAACTTGAGTTCAATAACATGCATAAACATTTCTTTATTGTATTGTTGTACATAAAGTATATCGAATATAGTTTTAACAATTTTCACACTACTATCAACATTTATAGATCTCACTTAGGTTAGATATAATTAGTTAAAATAAAGTACACGTTTTTCGTATTGAATTCTTTGTTTCATTGTACGTTTGGTCCCCCTTTTTATGACAAAAAAGGATGCACTACCTTCGAATTAGCTACAAATTCAATGTTTACTAGGTATAAGTGGTCACATCTATCTTGGTTACATAGATATCTATATGCTACGCTCGAAGTGCAATTGGATAAATGCATATACAATACACAATACTTGTCCATTCCAGCGACAATAAAGTAATTTCACTAATTTCGTTTCGCCCTGAAACATTCTTTTCATCTTTGGCCAAGTCATGCGGCAATTAGTGGGGCAGTCATACATAAAAAAACTATAAAACTGGACGTAAAGTTGACAACGGTTGGGATGGGATGGTTTTGGGGTGGCTATGTATCTGGGAGCGCTTAAAAAGCTACGAGTCACTCTTTTCGCAAATAGTGAAAGTGAGTTTCCTTCAAAGGATAAGCATGCATTTTGAGTGTCCCCAAACTCATTTTTTCTCCTGACTTAGACACATGACAAGTGCTAAAATATGTGCTCCGCGTGTCCTTTCAATCTGTTTTTTATTATGGTCATCGTAAAATTTATTGTTGCTCTTTAAGCGTGTCTGCGTTTTTACGCTGGAATTTTTTTTGCTTAACGGATAATTAGTAAAGTTTTTATCCTTCCATTTTTCGCTTTCCATGGCTATTGTTGATGATGCACTATTAAACTACATTTCGGTGGTTGAGTGTCAAGTTAACTTTTGTGTTTAGTTTGTGGTCAAAGTTTTGTGCTGTGAAAAGAATGGATTCTTTTGCTGGAGAATAACACATTTGAAATAGCAATAGAAAACAAAAACTTTTAAATAAACATAACTTTAACATTAGAAAAAAAAATTAAATATGACATAATATCCTTTTTTATGAAGAAAATCTTTCCATACAGTATTCATGCTGTGGCGTAATTCATCGTAAATCCTTGAACGGAAAATCTTCTCAGGGTTAATTTTCCATGTCAATAGACCCATTTAGTCATAAGTAATTCGTCTGGCTTTGCCGTAAGTGCCTTCTAGCCGAAGGATATAACAAGACTCGGTCGCCACGTGGTTGCCAGGCAATTGATGAGCTCTCATCATGGCCTACCAATTTGTCAAACGATAATTTCTGGTCCAACGAATTTTGTCATTTATCAGGTATTTAATTTTTAAAAGCACTACCAGGGGATAAAGGCCCCAAACCCCCCAAAAACCCGAGATATTTGTTTGCTCTTAGGCCTCTTGATGTGCCTAAAAAAAGCAGGAAAAACAACAACAAAACTCTGGGAAACCGATGACGGAGGTTGTCTAAGCTGATTAACATTGAGTTCCCGACACATTGCCCAAAAAGGCGGATGTGTGTCGGTTTTTATTTGGGATGTGAGCCGGAATACGTTTTATATTGAACATACATATATTTTTTTGTGGCCTTCCGGCCGAAAAGACCCTTAATTTATGCTCACAGCTCAGCTCAGCTTGTGGAAAGACCTTTAAAAGTGGTCCATTTTGCTCTAATTTAATGCCAACTCTTTCTGGCCTTTATCTCCAGTTCGGAATCGCTTTGCTACCACGATATCGCAGGACGATTTCTTTTATTGTTCCTTTATGCTTTGTTCGTGTGCATTGCACCGAGTTTCCCTTACTGTTTTTGTTATTACAGCCTCGAGCTACGGTCTTAAGCACCCCCTATCCAAAAAAAAGGAAACAAACAGAAACAGAAAGCAGACAAAAAGGACAAAAAAAAAGGATATAAGAAAAGTCACTCACTAGCTGGGAATGTCTCTGTCCCTATCCATTGGTTGGTTAAATGCTCCCGCGCTGTCAATATTGGAAATTGGAATATTTGTGCCAGAACACACACAGAATAAAGTTAGAGCTTCGTAAAATGTTAATAATTAAAATATTAAAAATATAAAATAAAATATTATTTACAAAATGTATTCGAATGAACTTTTATTTGTTTGTTTACTGGCAATACTTTGAAACTAAAAATAAATTATTCTTTACCATTTTTATTTCAAACTCATTAAATTAAAAAATAAAAGAAATTTGTTTGCATTGTTTTGTAATTTTATCCAGTTGTATAATAATGTCATGTTTAAGTTAAAGCTATCAATTTCAGAACAGTTTTTCTCAGTGTTGCATATGCACAATGTTTCCACCATTCAGTTTTGGAAGGCAAAGGCAACAATATCGACACCGCGCACTTGCAAAAGTATCGCTTATATTTCTTTCGCTGCCATTATTGCGTGTGGCGAGGTTTCGGTTGGCTCCTTTTTATTATTCCCTCTCGGTTTGACAAACAAAAGGTTGCTGCATGGTGGAGACCTCAAGTGCATTGCATTTTAAATTGAAATTTCAGGGTGCGGCATAAAAATTCGAATTTATTGATGTCCTAAAAATTTCTTTGTCTGCCAGAGCAAAATAGTGCAAAATTTAAAAAGTGCTTGCCAAACACAAAGCTATCCTTTGTGCTGATTATTTTCCTAACGACCTCTAAAAAAATACGACCGAAAGAATGGCGAACGCGAAAGACTAATTGGCTGGACAAATGTCAAGTGCCAAATGGAACCCACTGTGCACAGTGGCCAAACAATAGAGCCATGTTTCCTGACACTCGAGAAACTGCAACTGTGGCAAAACCAACAGAGATGGCGAAACGTTTAAACAGAACAAATTCCACTGCCTTCCGATTTGTATACGTGTCTGCTTCTGGGGGCTTCTGGGGGGAAAATGGGGCCCGGTTGCAGCCACTCTGGGTTATTTTTGTTGGCCAACTAAATCGTCAACGTCAACATTGTCGCAGACCGTGTTGACATTTAGCCTTGCAGTGCCACCGCTGCACAAGAAAACAAACACAGGACAAAAGAAAAGGAAGCCCCATCCTACGGTGCCGAGTCCGAGTCCGACTCCGATTTCGATGGATGCCCCTTAGGCATTGATATAATACTCCCGCTTCTTCTGGCATTTCTCATACGCAATGTAGCACAGGGCGATGGTGATGAGGACCAGTATGGTAATCCCCATTATGATGCTGACCAGGATAATCTCGTCGTTGATGCTCTTGTACGAGTGACCTGCAAAAGGAAAAAGAAAAGGAGAACGATTCAGAGGCCTCGCTGACAAATTACCGGCAATTATTCTTGTCAGGTGGAAAAGTGGGTGGGAAAAAAAGATTATTCCCTGCTGTTGTTTGCCAATCAACTTTTCTGGTTTAAGAGCTCCATGCATATTCAAACAATGCGGAAAACAAAAAAATTTAGTCGGACCATGACAAATGCCATTGTTGTAAAGAATAAACGATGACCATATGCCAGAAGCAATCTGGATGACAACCCACGCACACACAAAAGAGACATAAAAATTTGCCATAAACAAAAATAATATAAAAATTGGATTTCCAATTCATATTTTCATGACAGCAGCTGCTTTTATATGTTTTATGAGCTCGCTACATACGGTTTGGATTATTAACGCAATTATCGGGACAACAACATGTTCGAAATGCTTGCATGTCTGGGATTAAGTTTTAATCTTGATTTACGTTTGAATTAATCGAATCTAATAGGCTTACCGACTTACCAACAAAAAAATAATGAAAATATAACTGATCTGAAGTTATAAAAAGTATATTTTACCCAACAAAGGGAAGGCAGTTTATTTCAAATATCATAATTTATTAAAACATACAAATTTAAGAATTTTATAAAAGTTTTTATTATAAGTTTAATATCTTTTGATATAACGACTCAATCATGTCTCAAATTTTTAATTTGATTTTATCATAATAATTCTCATCCCAGCATTTTAAGCCTTATTTATTGTATAATTTGTTTAAAAATTTGCATTGCGGTTTAATGAAGTGCATGTCATTAGGATTAAGAGGCTTGGCTCTAATTATGTGTCATTTGCAAATTTAAATCATTCATTTAAAACGCGGTTGGTGGAATTTCAATTTGGCGTAACCAAAACCATTTCCACTCTGCCGACTTTTTGCAAATAGGCTCTTATTGTTCGGCTCCATTTGGGCCAGATGTTTGCTTTATGGGTAATTTAACACGTAATCGATGCCGAGCATACTCACTTGCCTTCAGCGGTCGACACACATCAAACAAATTAAAATCTTGTTTACAGGCAGCCAAAGCGACGCCGTCACAGATTTGTTAATTAGAAGGTTCGTATTACGAAGGCTTAAAGCCCAATGGCCCATTGCCCAAAGCTATGGCTAACCATAAAACTCCCTTTCTGTATAATGTAGTATATGGTATGTACATAAAATATATGCATGGTCTGGCATACGAATGTTTTTGCGGTTAATGTGCCTGATTGTCGTCATCGAGGCGTTGAGGCGTGTGATTCATGGTTCACAGTTCACGGTCACTCGGCCCAGATAAATAGGCAATCATTTCGATTGCTTTCGCATAGCCAAAAGCCTCACCTGCTGGGCAGGCTATAAAATTCAAGTGGATGCAAAAAATGTTGTGCAATTTGCCTAGAGATCAGCAAGATTTATGGAAGAGTTTTATTCCCAAGCCATGTTAATCATAGACGCTTAAATTCCATAAAACACGTATTGAAACATAAAATATACAATTTGAATGGTGATATAAGCTACTTAGATCCACTTTAAAACTTATTTTGAGTTTCCCATAATAATTAATCTTCTGAATTTTATGTTACCAAGTTGTGGTGCTCTACATTAGTATGTATGTGTACTTCTCCCGAGAGTGTTAATTAGTAGAGAAAATATTTTGTATAGCATGCAGGATGAAATTGCTGCCGACAAATTTGACCCATATAGAACGGAAAGCGTGAACCCAAACTCCTGGCAAAAAGCTCCAAAGCGGAAAAATAAGTTAAGCTTTTGATCAGTGTTTCTAGACAACACGTAGAGAAAATCAAGAGCAGCCAAATAAGATTGTACAATGGGATTTTGTTAAAGACTACATACGAACGAGAATTTTTAATCAGAAAATAAATAAATAACTGTGCACAAAAATAAAATATGAAATCAAATATAAAAAACTCATGACATAATTGTATTAGGCACAAAAAAATAAAACAACGCAAAATTGTGATTTACATAATTATTAATGCAGTTCAATAAATAAATTATAATAAATTATATTAATGACAGCTAGGAAAAGAATTGGTGACAGCACTCTTGGAGTAGATAAAGTTTAATGATTTAGAATCGAATAAGCCACAGGGATATTTCGTTTTAAGTCAAGGGAAATGGAAGTCTCCCAAGAGTTTCAAAACTATAATATACCAATTAAGAATAGCTTTGAACCGACAATTGTATCGTTAGCCACTTTGGCCATTCTGCAAAAGTTTTCAATGGCATTCAAGTGCGGTCGAAGTTTTTGAACTTTTGCTATGTATACACTCCTTGGAAACTGTTCAGACATTTGTAAGTTTTATATTTCAAGACCACGAATTTGCGGTTGCTTAAACCATCAAAAGCGCGACAAATGTTGGGCATATAGAATAATAATTCATGGGGAGCCCTAACCGAAATGCCTGACAAAGTTCAGGCTGTCAAAACGTAAGTTATGATAGCGTGAAATATGCAAAACGAATGCAAGAGGCGAACGCCTCATCCGCAAATTGAAATACGAAATGGAAACTGTCGGTGCCTGTGGGCAAAAACAGGGCTAAACTGAGCGTAAATTATTAAGGTTCACGAGTGGATGAGCCTAACCGTTTTTCGGTGCTCCGGCCAAGGACACATGTCCTGCCAGCCGATATGTATCAAATTCCATTTATTGTTTTCTTCCCGACCGAAAATACAGTCAATAAAGTCATTTGACAGATTATGTGAATAGACAGAATACAAAAGATATAAAAGTAGGGGTCTCACACTCGTCTAGCATTATGTAATATCCTCTGGCAAGTGTGTTCATAGTTCGTGCGTATGTGTGCGTCCTGTTTGTGCTGTCTCTGACATCTTTCGAAATGTTTTGTGGCCACAAGGATTTGCCCAACATTAAGGAATTTAATTTAGGCCAGATTGAAGCAGGACTTCCAGAGCACTCAAACAAGAATGCGACCGCCTGAAGTAAATATTTAATGATGGGCACCGCGAAAAGAACACCATAATTTTGTGGGACCGTAATTCAATACGCATTGTTGATTGTTTATTATTTTTTTTTAATGTTCCTTTAAAATATTTTGCGTTATTATTAATATTGTACGAAATAGGTTGCTCTTCTTATTTTCTGTGTAGCTCTCTTTAATTTCCATTTGACCTTCCTTGATTGTGGAATTGTAAGGGTTCGAGAGAAAATTATCAAATAGATGTCATCAATGTGTGTTGAGATATAAATTTCTATTTATAAATTGACGCTTATTTTCGGGATACAAAAAAGAGCATCGAGGACACTGGCCTTGAAGATGTTAGAATAACTTAGTGCTCCCTGCTCTTTAGGTCAGAAATATTTTTCTTACAAATATTTAACTGGGTTTCAGGCCACATTCAAGCTTCAGGCCTGAAGACCAAACACGATGGCAGAGCCAGAGTAAAGTGGAAAGTAGCTCAAAGAGCCGAATTACTTATATCCCGAATTCCTTAGACCCAGGAAGTTTTTGCTGCACCGCTGCTGTATGTTCCACTGGAAAGGAAAGGCCATCATTATAATACCCCTAATCATATTGCCGCTTCTCGTGATGGGTTTCAAATACAACAAGGCGGTAAGTTAAAGGTTATTTCCTTTGGATTTGCCGTAAAACATACCGAATTAATGTGTCAGGAGTACAAGTGTATGTACCTCATCGTTACCATGGCTCTCCTGTGGATTACCGAAACCCTACCAATCTACGTTACTGCATTTTTTCCCATTGTCTTTTGCCCATTGTTGGGTCTTGTGGTGAGTAAAATTTACTATATTAATTCAATTGATAGCAAGGAAGTTGCCTTACAAATCCAGTTTAATGTTTAAAAATTATATTTAAAAATGTTGTACCATTACATAACAGAAGTTAGAATAATGGGATTTCTTAAAAACCTTTGATATTTATACAACTTTGTTTTTAGAGCATAGAGGTAGTGTGTCAACTGTACTTCTCCAACACCGTTGTCATGTTTCTGGGCGGTCTTATTGTGGCCTTGGGTATAGAGTATTGCAATCTGCACACTAGAATCGCCCTGAGTGTCATCCAGATCGTCGGTGGAAGTCCAAGGCGGTAAGAATTATTTAAATTATTATTATTATTATATTCATGAATACTTTCGTCTTCTAGGTTATTTGTAGGACTGATGAGTGTTAGCGTTTTTATGGGATTGTGGATATCGAACTCGGCCGGAACGGCCATGATGTGTCCCATTGTCAAAGCGGTTGTCAACGAAATGGAGACCGTAAGTATTGCGGTATTCAAATATAACTTTACCACCATTCTTGTATTTGCAGAACAATATATACCCGGTATATATGACACAAGAAGAGGAGCCAGTAGGGGAAGGCGAGTAAGTTATGGTGAATCTTAAATCGGATTATTATTTTTTCTGCCAAATTCCTGCAGACCACCACATCCGTCCAAGATTACCATGGCCTTATACATTGGCGTGGCCTACGCCTCCACAATTGGCGGACTGGGAACTCTGATTGGAACCGGCACGAATCTGGTCTTTAAGGGCATCTACGATCAGTAAGATAATGCATCTGATTAGGCCGAAATCAAAGTCGGGCTTTTTCCGCAGGCGATTTCCCACTTCCGAAGAGGAGGTCACATTTGCCAACTTCATGATGTTCTCGATCCCCATTTTGGTGGTTTGCAACATAACGCTGGTGATCATCGCTATGTTGACAACTCACATGGGCTTGTTTCGACCCAAAAGCAAGACGGGCTTGATCATAAAAGAGGCTTCCGCGAATCGAAAGTTATTGGAGGGTGTTTTAAGAGAGCGTTACAAAAGCTTGGGCCCAATGAGCTGCCACGAGATCCAAATGTCCATCTTCTTTGGTCTCATGATCATAGTCCTTTTTAGTCGCAAGCCAGGTTTCCTTCCAGGATGGAGTGAATTTTTCAATGCCAAGTAGGTGCCCGATTACAGAGATAGAAAACATAAATTCAAAAGTTTAGTCAATTTCTTACATCCACTTTAGGCCAATGGGTAGTTCAACTGGAATGTTTGTTATCGTTCTTCTCTTATTTGTCCTGCCAACCCAATATGTGTTCTTCAGATACTGTTGTGGCAAACGTGAGTCTCTCTAGTCCTTCAGCAAATTCAATCCCATTTAACATCCCGAATTACAGCTCCTTTTCCCGGCCAGGCCCTAGATGCGTTGTTATCCTGGAACTATGTGCATGAGAAAATACCCTGGGGTCTAGTGTTTCTGCTGGGTAGGTTCCTTGGATTTGTTCAAATATATTGTATAATTTTCCATGTTATTTCAGGTGGCGGATTCGCCTTGGCCGAGGCCAGCAAAAATAGTGGTGTTAACGTAATGATAGCCAGGGCCATGCAAGTCCTTATCGGAATGCCATCAATTTCGGTGCAGTTAATCACGATCGTCCTAAGCATGTTTTTCTCCACCTTTAACTCAAGCGTGGTCATTGCAAACATTGTTTTACCGATTTTATGCGAAATGGTGACCTAAATAATCATTTATACAATCTAGCATCATGCCAATTGATCCATTAACCCATACAGGCCCTCGTCCTGGAAATGCATCCCTTGGTTGTGACTCTGCCATCTTGTTTGAGCCTCAGTATGTGCTACTTTCTACCGGTGAGCACGCCCCCAAATGCAATTGTTTGCAATTATGCCAACATCAAGACCAAATACTTTGTGAGTGGAGCATTTTCAAATGCTGTCGTGACACCCATTTTGAACTCACTTTTTCTAGGCCTGTTGCGGAATACTGCCCACTATTATTGGATATTGGCTGGTTATTTTAAACACGAACACTTGGGGAATGATTATCTTTCCGGAATCCAAAAGTTTCCCAGACTGGGCCCAGGAAATTAAGAACCAGAGCAAAATCTGATGAAGAATATTTTATTAAAAAAATGTTCTCAAAATTAAATTGTTAAACTGTTATCTTAACAGAATGTATGAATATTTATTTTAGTAAAATGGTGATAGTAGATATAATTGGTAAATCCAAATCTAGATTTGTTGAAAATATAGCAAAGGTATTAAGGTCAAACGAATGATTTAAAAGTTATTCAGTGAAAGAGTGAGCTATGAGAAATTTGTGTTCATAACTACAAGATATACTTTACAAAAGTGGTACAAGTCACAACAAAATGGCTGAGTAAGTTTTTGAAAAACCGATTTGCGATGACCAGCTGACTTTAGATATTGTCTTGCAGTGCTAACAATAAAATAGGAAGTGGTCGGGCAATAAAAAACTGTTGCGGCTTCCATTGGAGGGGCAAAGCGTCCATCATAATACCCCTCATCACGTTGCCGCTGCTGCTATATGGATTTATGATAGATAAAAAGGTAAGTAAAATAGACCACATCCCATAGTGACTCATTTCCGCTCTCGAAGGCATGGCTATGCATGTATTTGGTGGTCAATATGGCGCTCTTCTGGGTTACGGAGGCCATTCCTTTATATTTGACCGCCTTGTTTCCGGTTGTTTTTTTGCCAGCTTTTGGAATTTTGGTAAGTGTTTGTGCCCAAAATTTGTACCTTTTCGTGATCGCCCTTTAAAGCTTTACTTAAATTAGTGGATACCCCATACTAGTGTTTTTTAAACATGCTTTAATTATTGTTATCAAGAATTACTTCAATCAATTTATATCTAAGTTTCCAATTTGTTTAGCATAAACCATTACAATTAATCTCGCTTTCATTTTCAAAGCCGTCGGAGAAGGTGTGCAGCTTTTACTTCAGCGATACCGTGGTCATGTTTCTAGGGGGCTTGTTGATAGCTTTGGCCATTGAATATAGCAATCTTCATCAGCGCATCGCACTTACAACTATCCTAATAGTGGGCTGCAGTCCAAGGCGGTAAGTCTCTGACCAAAAGTCGATTGCCAACTAAGATCGGTCCCAACAGCTTGCACTTCGGTTTAATCATGGTAACCTGCTTCATATCACTTTGGATCTCAAACTCGGCAGCCACCGCCATGATGTGCCCCATTGTCAAGGCAGTGCTCAACGAAATGGATGCGGTAAGATCTTTATTATTATTTTGATATAACATGGTTTATCTAAAAACTAAATGGATCCGATAAATATATTTCCTATTATATTTCAAGGTGATATTTTGTGTAATCTTGTAAATGGAGCTCACATTTCCATTCCAAATTATAAAGTGTTTGTTGAAGACTTAAATAAATAAAAATAATAATTAAATAAAATAATAATTAATTAATAATTAAAAAAATAGACTAAAAATATAGCTTAAAATTGAAAAAAACCTTTTTTGAACTTTTTCGCCATTTAGTATATTAATTAGGGAAACTTTTTTTTTTTAGCAAAATATTTTTGCTATCTATAAGTCACAGGAAGAGGAGCCGGTGGAGGAGGGCGAGTAAGTGTTGAATTTTCGCAGATAGGAACATATTTTACTCATGGTCCTGCTATCTCAGCCCACCGCACCCATCTACCATCTCGTTGGCCTTCTATTTCGGCATCGCGTATGCCTCGTCAATCGGAGGCTGTGGAACCCTGATCGGAACTGGAACAAATCTGACCTACAAGGGCCTATACGATACGTAAGAATGGGTTGATATTGTCGGTTATTGTGACGCCATACCCAAACCATTGATCCTCCATAGGCGCTTTCCGAACTCCGAGGAGAAGGTGGACTTTCCCATTTTTATGGCATACGCCTTGCCATTTGTGGTCGTTGTGCTCATCATTCTCACATTCCTTTCCCTGCAAATCACCCACATGGGTCTCTTCCGGCCCAATAGCAAGGTGGGCCAGGAGGTGAAAAAGGGCACCGAGGGTCAGAACGTGGTCAAGGCCCTGATCAAGGAGCGCAAGAAGGAGCTGGGCCCAATGAGCTGCCACGAGATCCAAGTGGCTTTGCTCTTCGTTCTGATGATTTTCCTGCTTTTTACCCGCAGGCCGGGCCTCTTTACCGGCTGGGGTGACTTTCTGAATGCTCAGTAAGTTTTCCTTTTGATTGGCCATTTGATTCCCATTTACCATTCCCGTCTGTTTTCAATGAATCCTAGAAAAATTGGCAGTGGCCCGCCTGTATTTTTCTGTACCATGCTACTCTTCGCCCTGCCCACGCAGTATACATTTTTTAAGTACTGCTGCGGAAAGGCTCCGTTTCCAGGGCAGACGTTGGATGCCTGCCTCTCCTGGTTGTACTGTAACAAATATACGCCTTTTGGTCTATGCTTTCTACTGGGTATGTAACAAGAAGTTTCTTATATCGAATTTATTGATTTAAGCTAAGAGAGAAAAGGAAATAATTAAATATTTTGTCTTAATTCGTTTGGCAGGTGGAGGATTTGCTCTGGCCGAGGGAAGCCGTGTTAGCGGAATGGCCAAAATGTTGGGCGGGTCGTTGTCATTCGCTGCAAAAATGGACCACGTCTTGGTTGTCTCTATGTGCATTATAATTTCACTTTTTTGCACCGCCTTTGCTTCCAACGTGGCCATTTGCAACATTCTGATTCCGATATTTTCGGAAATGGTAAGTTGTTGACACTTTAAAGTGGCTTGGACTTATAATTCTATTGTTTGAATAATTTTTAAATAATCATTTTTTTGCGTTGTAGGCCCTGGCCATCAAAGCACATCCCATCACATTGACTTTTCCCTCTGCTCTGGCCTGCAGCTTGGCCTTTCATCTGCCCGTAAGCACTCCGCCTAATGCCATCATATCCGGCTATACGGGTCTGAAAACTAAGTACATGGCCTTGGCCGGCATTTTGCCAACATTTTGGTCCTTCTTCTGTTTGCTTTTCACCGGAACCGTGTGGACAATTGTGATCTATCCGAGTACCAAAGAGTTCCCGGAATGGGCTGAGTAGACGTTGAAATCTATCCATACAGAAACCAAAAGTCTGAGAATCCAAAAATATTAAAAAAATCTTGATGTACAAGTAAGGCTATAAGGAAAAATGAAACCCACAACCAAAAAAAAACTAAATTATGTATGCATCCAGAAAAAAATACAACTAAATCTAACTAAAACATCTAATTAAACTGTAAGAACACCAACTAATTTTAAATATTTTTCCCGACAGGCTAGTTCACATAAAATTTGCGGGATCCCAAATAACAATTCTGTCGAATCAAATTAACTACATATAACAAGAACTGCGTTTTTTGCTTTGACAGAAAATGTTATGATGTGATGGCATTGCAAAATGTAAGTACCACTCATCTTAAATTTTGCCAATGTTCCTTTATTCAATACTACTTTCAGTTCTAGGTGTTGGCCTTTGATGTCAAGCTTATTCAGTTTCTTGTTTGAAGACCAATAAATTCTTAACGCACAATTTGTGGCAATAAAAACTACACGGCGAACTTGTTTAAAAGTACAAGAGTCTTCTCTATGGCTAAATGATAACTGGGGATGAGCGGAAATCTAGCCTGCGGATGGGCGTTATAAGGACGGGCAAACTCGGTTAGCAGACATTTTGGACCAGAAGAAAACAAAAACTTTGTGCAAACAATGCAAAAAGTACTTCGGCTGGCCCTTCACCTAAACTCATTTACATTCACAGCGTTAAGGTGAGATAAAATCAAGCCAAACATCATTACTCCGAGCAACTGAATTATATTGCTTTCATGCATGAATGACATGCGGAGTAAACGAGGAACCATTTATAGCGCACAAATCCCCAGCCGACACACGCATAAACAAATAATGTACAAGCACACAAAAATTCCAATCCGAGTACTACTCATGTGTATAAGAAACGCACCGAAATAAATGTAATAAAAACCCTGACAAGCGGAATATACATACGTAATCAAGGCTCGAATAAAAACACGCTTTTCAACACTGATTACGGTGAGGCATGCGGCAGGACTTCATCAGCAGGATGTCGGGACGACGCCATCGGCGGGCCAACATAAGCCCGCCAAATGGGCGACAGTGCGGACAACGAACCACCAACCACCCACCACCCCAAAATGCCTGGAGAGAATGTACATATTATACCGTGGTTAGGGGTTGAAATAACAATGAGGCTTGTCATTTATTCATATACCAATAATAATGACAGATTTCAATGAACATAATTTTTATTATTTAGATATTAAGTTCAGTTCGTTTCGTGCAGAGAGGTGAATGGGTGTAATAAATTAATCAATCAATTAACATATTTCTTCGTATGTTTAAAAGACTGTTCACCACCTTATATGGCTTTGGAATAAATACTACTTCTTAAAACCCATAACCCGTATACAACAAAAACTCTGTACATTTCCATCGTTCGCACTACTTTACAATACTGCGCCTGTGTATGGAGCCCACAATATATTGATAAACAAAAATTAATCGAACCAGTCCAAAAGCAATTTTTATTATTTGATCTTCGACAGCTGAATTGGGACCCGGTGAGGCGTTTGCCACCTTACTCATCAGGGTTAAAATTAATTGATTTAAAGTCATTAAAACATCGACGAATGTGCAGCCGAGTCATTTTTGTTTGCATAAGCTTCTTATAGGTGAGTGAACTTTTGCCTCCTCCTAAGCTATACTGACATCGCTGTTCCCGCAAGATTTACTCATATACTTGCCAATTTGTAGATCCACCCTTTCGGGTGCTTTGTTTAAATTATAATGCAGTATATCCTGTTAAATCTTTGGATAATCAGGTAATATTTAATCATTTTTTGTTTTGCATAATTTAATTAAAATTACACTTATTTTAGTTTTTAGTCCTGTAGATGTAAGTTATTAGTAATGCGTCACAATAAAATGGAGTACCCACTCTCGAAGATATTGTAAATCAAAAGAATAAATAATTTTTTTCCATTTGTACGGACAATTGCACTTTTTACAAATACAAGAGTACCTTAATAATGGAATAAGGATATTATCATATTTTCAAAGTTAAATAACATTACCGACATAAACCACACATTTATGTCCCAATCTTATCTGGATTTCTCCGTCACTGTCCGCACTATCTTTATCTACTCACCACTGTAATAATTGTTGTCCGAATAACCATATTTGCCGGCTGTTCTGCCCCCGCCGGCCATCTTTATAGATTACTTTGTTTCCTTGGCTCGTGTTGATACTTCCTGCTGCCCTAAGCCGGTGTTGTTCTTGTTAGTTAGTTGTTAGGGCTGTCGCTGCCACTCCGGGACTATAAAACACTCAGAGCTGAGTGGTCTGTTGATCGGCTTTTTGTTCTTCCTGCTCCTGCTGTTGCTTCTGATGCTTCCGGGAAAACAACTGACAGGGAAAAGCGGAAAGGAATGCAAATAAAATCTCTGTAAGTCCAGACCAACAAATTGTTAATGACTCTGTCAGAAGCATAATGAACTTGCGTACGAAGCAGAAGTCACAAATCCCGCACCCAAAGAGGCCACGTATGCCGACGGCATCGGGAAACAGGATATGAAAATAAGTCATAAAGTGTTCTGCGTTTTGAAAAGATCAAAAATAAAGAGATTAAAAAATTCTATATATGAGAATTTTATACTTTCTTAAATTGGAAACAAATATTAAAAAAATATTAGTTTTAAATTAATTAAAATTCCAAAGAGATGAATAAAAATAGATTTTTTTAGAATTAAAGCTAAAGAAGATTTTGAAATTTAAAATTCGAAACTTAAAGATTTAACGTTCTCATGGTTCCATTTCACCAAGAGCATAGTCAACGTTGCGCATACGTGATTTTCCATACAAATTTTCCAGAGCAACGACATGTTTAATTTTTTATTAACTCTTGCAAAAGAGCTATTGAAGCATGTAAAGCTATTTTCCTTTATTCTGTTTCTGAGAACACTCCAGCTGAGCGGCTAGTCACGTTACGTATACGCAATGTCAGCATGTTTTAATTATAGCAAACACCCAAACAGAAGAGCTCGCCTCGTCTGGTCGTGTAATTATGCATATAATTAATATGCAAGTACTTATTTAATATTAACCAAATTGCTGCCACTCGAAGCGTGTCGCCAGGAGCAACATCAGGACCAACACTAACCATCGCGTTTCACTTCCAGGGCAACAATAAATTGTGTTCAATTTGTGTAATTAGTGTAAGAAGCTTTGGCAACCAAAGGTGAATGGGCGTGAGAGTGTGTGCGTGTGTGTTAGTGGGCGTGGCCAATTTACACACATAAATTGTTTCCCAGCTAAGGGAAAGCAATTTGGAAATTGCATGCACAGGGATCACAGAGGGGGTTAAAGGTGGAGGCTGTGCGCCTTTATGCCTGATGCATTTCTCTAGTTAGTCTGCTCCATTTACTGCGCTCGTGGTCTTTTGATGGGGCCAGAACAAGGGGGCGGATTGGGCCAAATGAGCTCTGCGATTTGCCATGGCAAGTGGGCACATTGCAATTTGCTGACGATAAATTCTGAGTTAAAATCAGAGCTTAGCACAAATTGGTTTTCCCTTGTTGGGTATGCAAAGTGTGGCTATAACTAAATTAAAACTTTGCGAAAGCTGTTGGAATCAAGTGGCAGAACCGTGTTATCGGATAGTTTAAAAGGCTGTTAAGCTCGAGCAATTTGTTTTAGGCAAATTAAACATGTGGACTTGTAATAAAACATTAAAAAGGTACATATGGTTTTATAGCTCAATTAAGCTAAAACCTCAAATCCAAAATATAGTTTTCATTTCATTATTTGGATATTTGTCATGCATATGTCATCAGACGTTAAGATAATTAAGTGTAATAATGGGATTTTCTATTCATTTCGTGAAATGAAAATTCATTTTCCGAAGCTTTATCTGATACACTCAGGTTTAACCATCGGCAACTTATCTAAAATAACATCATCAATCAAGGCAAGTTTGGTTGTCTGGCTAAATAGCTGTGAAAGTTTGAACAGAGTCCAACTTTTAGGACAGCTTATCTGTGTACCATATCAGATCACTCAGAAACAATCCATTTACGGCAGTGCTGTTATGTTCCTGCCAATTCAGACGAACTTTTGTATGGGAAACTTTTCTGTTGGGTAATTTCTCTCGCCTAATGCAATTTATTGACTCCCACGCACAAAAATATGTTGTAGCCTTAAATTTATTCAAATAAAAATACGCATCTTCTTTCGGGGCTTCAAATTCGATTATGAGCCAAAGTTTTCACTGGATCAGTTTTGAAAATTTCTTGCACGTACTGCGTGCAAACTCAATTACACGTTCAAAGGGCAATTCCTCATGCGCCCCCAACAACAGATTCTGGTCCTCCTTTCAAGAAAGGTGGTAAACAAATAATAATAGAAGTTTTCCGCTCTGCTGTTTGTGTGTTTTGTATTTTCTACTGCGCTGTTGTTACACACTGAGAAATACATTTTTAGATAGCTAAATTAATTATTTATATTACTAATGTTTTGGAAAAATTCTCTCAGTGAGCGCACACTATTTCTGCTTTTTGTTGTTTTTAATGTCTGTTTTTCCTTAAGTGTAGTTGCAGCTGTTGAGATAGCAGGCAAAGAATAGAGACCGCAGTCTAAGTTAGAACATATGTTGGCCAGCAGATACACACCAGCGTATAATAGGAATAAGATAAGGGGGGCAGATGGAAAAGGTGGGCCAGAATGATGGTTTCCCTGTCGGGTCCCAATAGGTTCAGCCGTTTTTGACTCTGACCTCCTGAAAAGCCAAGTGATGACCGAAAATAGCACTAAAATTGTCGCCTCTGTTTCTCTGAATTTTGTCAGGCGCTTTCTATCTGTGTGTGGCCTCACTGGGGTGTGTGTTTATGGTGGCTTTTGTGTGTGAGGTGACGGTTTGCGATGCTGTACGAGTATATGTGTGGAGTACGCCACATCCTGTTTCCTGGGCATGGCGTGTGCGCACGAGTGCCATTGTCTAAATTATTTGGGTGGCGTACATTTTCCGTTGAATTTGCGTTCTCTGCACCGAGTGCCTGTCCATGGATCCTACTTCTCGCCCAGCACTTTCCGGAGAGCTCCCTTATGGCTTTTGATGGGGCACTCGACGTCCCAAAAACAATACATCAATTTGTACGTATGCACGTGGCCCGGGCGCTTGTCAAGGCAAGTGATTCCTCATGATTGGCCTAATTGTCAGTCAGGTCAGAAACACCCACACCCCTGACTACTTTCAATGGAATAAATTAATTTAGAAGTAAATGCAAGGAACAGCGGAAATATATTTTAAAAAAATAATAATGTAACAATGACAATATTATCTATTTCAATAAAAAATTACCGTTTTATAAGCTTATAAGTAAAATACATTATGGTTGTATTAAGGAAAAGGAATTTTAAAATACTTAATTTAAAATTAACCCCTTTAAGCACCATTTAAATCTTTAGTCTACATCTTAAATAAAAATTTTAGCTTAAGCATAAGCATGACAATAAAGAGTAGTATTGAGCCAATAATATTATTCTTGATTGTTTGTGTTTTATTTTTTCTAAGAATTACTTTTTCCTCCCAATATAATACGCTCTTAGAGTGTGACATCAAGCTTAGCAAGACTGAATTTAATAAAATGTGTCAACACTTCGTATGCTTGATAAGCGTATAACCAATGTCCACCCCGGCACGCACGTGTGGCTTGTGTTCCAGGTACAATATGTACACGGACTTAATTAATGTGCTAATGGATGCTTTGTTTTAGAATTTCTCATATTTATACTGTGTCGATGCCATTAAATTGGAAAATAACTGAAAACATTTTAAGTTGGTTTTAACATACTTTTTAAATTTTAGATTGATTTAAGTTTAATACAATTGCAACTTTAGATAAATGAATCGAAGAAAGTTGATGGAAATCAAGCGACACAAGTTTGACAAATAAGCGGATATCATTCTGCAAATAAATAAATCGTTGTCAGATTCGGCAAAATTGCAAATAATGACAACGTTCTACTTTGTACATTTCTTATATTGGCTTTTATTGATTTTCCGTTCATTTTATTAGAATTTTCCCTCGTAAAGTCTTCCCAAACAAATCGGTTTTCTCCTTCAACTGCAGAGGCAAACACTTTTATTTACCTATCGCATTTGACAACCTCAGTCAACCATATTTTGATCCACCAGGGATTTGGTTAGATGGTCGAACAGGCTTTGCTGTAATTAGACTGGGGAAAACTTTACGACCAAGATGTTTATTAATTGCACATGTGTGGGCAAAAATTCAAACCACCTTCCCAGCTTCACCTGTTTCGCATCTTATTTTCCAATTCCAAACAGGTCAAAGGAAAACCGACGTATTGATGGTTAGCTTGTTGTGGCTTTTCTTGAAAAATTGAAAACTCAGGAGTGGTTTAAGTGCCTTTAGCACCGATAAGCACTACAGAATAGGAAACAATGCACGAGTCGTTTGCATTTAATACGGCGCAAAGTGTTCCACTTTCCTTGAAAAATTGTCTGTATGAAGTGGGAGAAGAAGACGCTAATAAAAAATTTAACCAGGAGACGATTAACAGCTGTTTTATGACAGCACAAAATGGAAGTTTGGTATAGTTTATATTTTACTGGTCGGCACTCATTTGATTTCTTCCTTTTTAATGCAAATTTTTAGGTTGAATACCAGCGTTAGCATGCTGTTTTCATTGCCGTTTTTTGAATATTTTATAGTGCTTTTATATTAGGAAAGTTTAAATTTTAATACAGCAAAGGAAATAAATCTTTTTTAATGGACTTTTTAAAGTCAGAAATTCTTTTTTTATACGGTACTCTCAAGAGTAGAGAGAAATTATTTTAGGAAAGAAATTTGTATACTTTGCGCGTCACTTTTCACGGAAATTCCATTTAGGTATACATTTGTTTAAAAGTCAATTGAAAATAGATTCAAATCAACGTGTTTACATTCAATGTATACATAAGCGCGACTTTAAGCGAATAACTTGTTGTAATTCAAAGCTCTTTTTTGACAGCACGTTGCTTAAGTTAGCTAAAAGTTATATATTTATTGTCATAGATAATTTGAAAAATTGTCTTTTAATGCAAATATTTTATGGGGGAATATACCTAGACCAACATGTTTCTATTATCTTGAAGTACATCAAATTAAATGCGATAAAATTTAAAATTTATTTTGCTTGCAGTAAATAAATAAAAATGTTCGTAACTGCCAAGAGTTTAACGTCTTTTGAAAATCAAGTTCATGGCCACTTGTCAAAGAATCCCAATTAATCGCAATCTTAAGCAAATTGGTGAAAATGCAAATGAAGCTTTTGTAATGAGAAGCCAAACAAGAGCACATATTTATTTTTTTAGCTAAAAGCTAGCATAAGGTTGAGGAATACTTTAAAGAGTAATAAAAGACTGTTTATACTAAGATCTAAAACAATCCTGAAAAGACCCCAAGCCATTTTCAAAGTCGCATTTGATAAAAAAAAACCTTTAAATTCAATTGCCAAATCTTGGTATGCAAATGTGAGTGAGAATAAGGCTTAAATACTTTAAATAAGTTTAAAGCACAAGGGCCTCGGCAAACTTGATGGATGAATCGTAAAGTGAGAGACGAAGCATGAACTTGGCTCTGAACTGTGAAAAATGGACTGCTGATGGAAGTGTAAAAATGCCAGCGTGCAGTAAAACGTCGCCCATAAAACAAGTCGTACAGTTGCTCATAAAAATGAAGAAAAATGGTTCCAATACCACACCTGGGAGGTTGACAGACCGTCAAGATCTGCGCGCGGTATATAATTGATTTATATTGGCCATATGGCGGCGGGCTTACCATCAGCCTTTGTTGTCTGCCAACTGCCATGAAATGGCTAATTAAGATATCAGCCCACTGGCAGTCGTCCAGCAGTTGGCCGCAAATCTCACGCCTTTTTCAAATCCCTTTTTTTGAAACCCGATTTTCCGACCCGTTGGTATATAAGTCGTCCGGACAACGGGCAACACAAAAGCGCGCGAAATTACACAAACAACGAGAGGAGGGTCAAAAAGAGGACTATTTCGCGCACACACGCAGTCACGCAATACGGAGTAACCGACTCCGATTGGTCCGAGTAAATATGGCGCCAAACGAGTCGAGGATGTTGCCTTTGGGAGCCTCCGTTCGTTTCGGTTTGTGCCCTTGTGCCGCTAGCACATCTGTCCCGTCTGACGGCGTTTGTTCTACTGATGAATGGACCCACCGAAGGATGCCAGGATGCGGAAAGTTCCCAGCATGCCGTGGACCAACAGCCGGAGAGCTTTTACTACGATGCAAGCTTTTACCCCAACCACTAGGTCCGGAGTGAAGCCAAAGTCCCGCGGAAGTCGACGAATTAGCTATACCGATTAATATTTAAATATTAAACATAATTAAGGTTATTTTAACTTAAATGTTTTAGAATAAAACCCCGAGTACCCACAACTGTATGGGAAGATATTTTGATTGGTATATAATTAGTTATATCCAATCAAATTATTAAAATTTTAAGCTCCTTAAAAGCAAAGCCTGTAGTAACTGGTAATTGAGTCAACAAAATGTATTAATATATATCGATTGAATTGTAAATACTACAAAAACATAATTTTACTATATAAATGTAAGTTAAAGTTATCAAAACAAAATATATTTAAATAACTGTTTATTGCAATTTCTAAGCTTTTCGCTTAGATTGTATTAAAATGCTTGTAAAAGTTGTCATCGTATTTCTTTATGTAATTTACAAGAAGGTACAACCAGACAAGTTTATTAAAATTGAATCTTGAATTTATATTGAAAATTTAGTGTACCATATACCATACATTTTAGAAGCTTGTGAAATAAAGTCTTTGAACAGTCAAAATATGTTCCACTTGGAATATGGATTTGATTTTTCTCTTGATTTATTGACATGTATTAATCATATTTGCAGTCAAATACAAACCGATTGAAAAGTACTAGCAACAGGGGCATCAAATTTCGAAGGAGAGCCTCAAGCGGCAGCGGTGAGCAGGGCGGCATGGTAGGCGATGTGTTCGCCGATGAAGGTGGCGATGTAGAAATAGCTGTGATCATAGCCCTCCCGATTTTTGAAGATGGTTTGGATGTGGTCGTTGCCATCGGCGGCAGCCAGAAGGTTCTCCGGCAGCAGCTGCTTGCCGGCGAGGAAGTTGTCCGCCGCACCCTGGTCGATGAACAGTTCTTGCGGCGTGCTCTCGTACTGCGACACCAGGTGCGTGGCATCCCACACGGCCCAGTCATCCGGATTGGATCCCAAGTATCCGGCGAAGGCCTTCTGGCCCCACGGGCACTCCGTGGGATTGGCTATCGGGGCAAAGGCCGACACCGACTGGTACAATCCGGGATTTTTGAGCGCACAGATCAGTGCTCCATGGCCGCCCATGCTGTGACCGAAGATTCCCCGCTTGCCGGGAACCACGGGCAGATTGGCATTCACCACATCCACCAGCTCCTGGGTCACATAGCTGTACATCTTGTAGTGCTTGGACCACGGCTCCAGTTTGGCATCCACATAGAAACCAGCCCCGCTGCCAAAGTCGTAGGCATCATCCTGTCCGGCGATTTCTACGCCCCTGGGCGAAGTGTCCGGATTCACGACGATCAGATTGTGGCGCGCGGCGTGCGCCTGGAAGCCGCTCTTCTGGATGAAGTTCTCGTGGCTGCAGGTCAGTCCGCTAAGGAAGAAGAGCACCGGACAGGGTTTGTCATCCAGCGCAGCCGGCGGTAGGAAGACTCCGAAGGTCATGTCGCAGTCCAACGTGCCGGAGCGGTGGCGGTACACCCGCTGCTCGCCCTCGTAGCACTTGGCAGTTGAGACCAGTTCCAGCGTCATGTTCTGCGGTTTTGAAGATAATATTAAAATACTAATACAACAGTTCAAAATTAATCAAAAATCATTTAATTTACGTGTTTCGGCGGATTCTAAAAATAAACGATAACAAACAGTGTGACCGTATACAGAGCGCCAAAAAAAAACGTACCGTTTTTGTGAGCTTTGAAAATATCGATAGTATCGGTGTTTTGCATAGGTTTTGTTTTTTGGCCTTGTCACCCTTGCTTGGAGACATAATGTTTTCGAAAAATTTTAACGTTTTCTGATATTAAAAAGTTTTAAAAATTTGCATAATATATGATACATAAGTTCCTAGAAAGATGTGGTATTAGATATAAGTATAACCACTCTCAAGCTGAACAAGAAACGCAGTGTTTAATTTTTAAGTAGGCATATGGTAATTTTTTTATTTTCATGATATAACAAATTTAAATACTTTTTTGTCTTATACATTTTAAATCAACCGCCAAATTGTTTAAGTATTTCCGCACATTATAAAAAATACCAACATCAAAAACGATAGACACAAAAACTCCCATCACTAGTCAAGAAGAAGAATACAAGATGATTGTCGAAATTGTAATTGTTTGATTTTGACATTAATTTAGAGAAAAGTACGCTTTATTAAAAGCCGGAGAATGTCGGAAGAAGCGGCCAGCACCTCGGCTTTTGGCTTTAAGAAGCGCAATATCAAAAAAGGAGCTGGAATGCGTCGCAAAAAGGAAAGCAGTAGCAGCAACGAATCAGGTGAGCAAATATTCTACCGCCAAAAAGTGATATACATAGGGGATATATTTAAACGAAATCCAGCAAAAAGCAGCGATGAGGAGTTAAAAGGCAAAGCCAGTGCCTTAGTGCGAGCCGAAAACCGCAGGAAGCGCACGAATCCCAACTTTCAGAGCACCAAGACATTGAGCAAGGCGAAGCGCCAAGCAGGAGCACACGATGAGGAAGCAACATCCTCGGCCTCCGATGATGATAAGCTGGGCATTGCCTACAAATCCAAGCGCGAGGGGCTGCCCAGTGGGCCGCAGGATCAGGGAGCCACGTCCGTCAACGAAATGGACACCGAACTGGACCGCGACGCCCAGGCAATCCATGCTCGTGCCCTGAAAATCAACGAGGAACTGGAGGGCAAGGCGGACGATAAGATATACCGCGGAATCAATAACTATGCCCAGTACTACAAAAAACAGGATACGGCGGCGGGAAACGCCAGCTCCGGAATGGTGCGAAGTGGTCCCATCAGGGCACCGGCTCATCTCAGAGCCACTGTGAGGTGGGATTACCAACCGGACATTTGCAAGGACTACAAGGAAACGGGATACTGTGGCTTCGGCGACAGTTGCAAATTTTTGCATGATCGCAGTGATTACAAAGCCGGATGGCAAATGGAAATGGACCACGAGAATCAGCGGAGGGGAGATGGTGACTCTGATGGCGATGATGGCAAGTACGAGATTCACTCCGACGAGGAGTCGCTGCCTTTTAAGTGCCACATCTGCCGACAGAGCTTTGTCAATCCCGTGGTTACCAAGTAAGTAGGATTAGAAACTTGCATTATCAAGTGAAAATATAAAAACTCCCGATTCTTTCTAGATGCAAACACTATTTCTGTGAAAAGTGCGCCCTGGCCCAGTACAAAAAGTCACAGCGCTGCGTTATCTGCTCGCAGCAAACTAGTGGCATTTTCAACCCCGCAAAGGATCTGATTGCTCGCCTTAAGACGAATCCCATGGAGAACTCGGATAGCGATGAGGAGGAGCTCGGAGCAAAGGAAGGGAAGGGCGAAGAGGAGCCGGAGGCTCAAGAAATTTCCTCTGACGAGAGTGATTAAATTAAATTCAAATTCAGCGCGTGCAGTTTTATAGCCACCAGTTTGCGAGCGGCAAACCAATTTTTCAGGGGGCAACAATTTGTTGAGCAGTTCGCTACTGTTATCTACTACGAAAACTTTCACAATTTTGATGGTAAGAATATATAAAACTGTATTTATTAAATGTTTTCTACGTATTTTCAAAGAAAAGAAAATTATCTTGTAAGGTGGGCATTGCTTAAGGGGCCAGAAGGGTCTAGAAGCCTGCATATTGGGCAATTTTTCAAAAAAGATTACAACAAATTTTGTATATTCTTTTTATTGACATTTTGAGAGATACAATAATAATAATAATAATAATGAACAATTTCTAGACCAGAATACCACCTTCAGAATCTTTGTAAATGGACTCTCTCTCTCTCTTTTTTGACGTGTAAAGAGTAATGTAAAGTATACATCACCAAAAGATGGCGTCTTAAGGACAAAAAGGACATACTCGCCTGTGTCCAAAAAATCGGTTTGAACATACATAGAGCTCTAACGCCGATTAAATACAAGTTTTGAAAGAATATTAGGTGTTTATTATTTTGTTGTATTAAGTAATGTACGTTATACCTTTTACCTTTTAATTACCATTTAAAAAAAAAATAACTCACCTCGGTCATGATATGGCCAAAGCTGAGTACTCCGTTGACTCGCTTGGGAAGATTTGAGAACGCGGTTATGGAATATGCGAACGAACTTCTTCCACTAACACTTGGCAGGCGTACAGAGTACCTTCCCATGCCCAACAGCCGCTTGAAATGTCTAGCTAGTGTTAATGTGACAAATGCCTAGAGGAGTTGAAATAGAGTAACTTTTAGAATTCCGATACGAATACTGCCTGACGTTTGGCTTGAATGATTCACGGCCAACTTCAACCTTTTCTGCGGAAGCAATCAAGGGGAAAACAATCAAACACAATGTTGCAGTTGGGTGAGGTACTAGAACAAGCTGCTTGCCAAAGTCAAGCGCAATTTTATATCCATAATTCAATTGCCAGAACTTTCATTTCCGGGTTCGTGCGCATCAAAAAACACAGGCGCAAAAGAAAGTAAGGGAATAGAAAAACCGAGAGGCCAAACCTTTACATAAGAGAATTCATTTGATTTTGGTCCGCTAAAATCGAAAATCTCTTGCCAAACTTTTAGGCCGCATTGTTCCACAGCACAAAGCCGAAATATTGGCCAATTGTAACGAATCGGAGCTTAGCCACAAATTCCAGAATCGGTTCCGGCTTCCATGTCCAACCCTTTCCCCAGTCCGGGACATGCAAAATATGAGCACATAAGCTTCTAGGAACAAAGCAACTGCCAAGGCTGAGCCGAAAAGTTGAGACTTCCTTCCATGATCCGAGTCAAAAATGGTCCGTAGATGTCCGCAATGTCGAAGGGATAGTTGCATAGCATCAAGGGAATCTGTGGGTGCTGGCAAAAGGTTATTCCTCATTAAGTCAGGTCGCATTTCCGATCCATAAAAAGTTTGATAAACCATATTCTTTAAATAACTTGTTTTGATATTTCAATGCACATATCCACTTTTGTTAGAAAACAATTCTTAAGATAGTTTTCTACATTTCAAATAGATAACATTCTTATTTATTAGGTATTTAATGTAAAAAAGAATATACGATTATGACATAATCTTAATTCAATTTGTATATTTTTGGCCCTGTCAATTTTTTTACAATTCAAACAAATTTAAAGCGAAGAGATTTTAATATTAGCTTAATTGTAGTGTAATGGAGTTAATTGCTGCAATCAAAACACAAAGCTATCTTAAGAGGAAATTCACCGAAACTGAGGATTTTTTCAAGGGTAACAATCACAGTACATCATTTAACAGTATTGCGCTGATGGAGAGGCACGTTCGCGTTTTCGCACATTTTATGTGCCACTCACTTATTGGCAGTGCAATGGTTAATTGAATGAGAAAGTCGTGCATGATGAACGCAACTTAATTAAGGGGGCGGCAATGATTGTTGTGGCCAAAGTTTGAGGCGCCAATAAGAGGGGCACCAAATCAGTTTTAATTATTTCCATAAATGCGAAAGTAAGCGGCATACGTGAGCACTGAAATTTTATAGTTTCAGTCAGTGGCTTTGATTGCCAGAGCGCAATAAGCGGATTGGGGATATGGTTGGTATTTGGGAAAGGGCGGTTAATTTTTCCGCCTAATTAGGAAGTAGAAATTTGTGTGCGGTTGTTCACACGATTGCCTTTCAGCTTCAAGTAATTAAGCGTTAAATGTGTTTGACGCCTTCGTCTGATTATGATTCGTTCCTTTAAGGCCACCATGTTGTTGTTTAGTTTATACAATTTTTGTTTTGTTTAGAAGCATATATTTGCACGCAGTAAAACAATTGTAAAATTTTTGATTTAAATTACATAAATATTTTATTACCGTTCAAATTTAAATTGTGTTATACCCAAATAAGATATAATTTAATTTAGCAATTGTTAATTATTTATACAAATTTTAGTTATTTTCACTTAAATGTTTGTGTTAAAAAAAAAACACATGTGTACTATATTTATATAAGATTTTTATAAATACCAGTGTTTATTTTTCATTTCTTTGTGATATATCATTTTCTTTGTGTGTATATGTATATATAATGGCTGCTGTCTGCACGTTTTGCCGGACTGCACGCTGTTTGTTTTCATTCGCTTTTATTTATTGGCTTCTAATGCCGTTGACTATTATCCCACGGGACGAAGGGGCGAGGCCAAGTTGCCCTTCCCTTGGATTTTCTGCCTGGGCTCGAGCTCAACTTGTCGCTTATTGTGTCAATTATCATTAATTTCTAAATGCTCTCCTGCTCTCCTGTCCGCACAAGGATGTAGCACCTTTTTGAATGATACTGGACCGCCCTGAGCCAGTACGTGTCCTGGCCATGTTGAAATGTCACCTTCGGCCGTATAAATTGTTATTGCCTGTGCGTTCTATCACCAGGACACCGAGGACACTGAGGACACCGTGTCCTGGCATTCTTAAAGTTTCCCAAACTTTGCCATGTGTATTTATGCTTTGACTCTTGATAATTTATTGTCCATTCAATATTAAGTTTCGCTCGTTGACCAGGAGTTATGTTTCAGTTAAGGATTAACTTTAGTTTTAAATCGAACAATTGAGAGCACGCTTCGGCTGTGTAATTATTGTGTAAATGAACTCCCAACTGCTGGCCATAAATAATAGACAAAAACCATATTATGCCACCGCAAAAACCTCAACTCATTAATCTTTCACTTAATAGTCCCGAATAATTAAGCACAACAATTGCACCGGCCTCTGACGGCCAATTAAAAGCCAATTTAAAGAGATAACAATTTATGAAAATCCTCAATTGAAAAGAAAAACCATTTTCTAAACGGAAACAAGGCCCCGAGCGAATGTGTGTGCCGAGCATCACAAGTTATGGCCCACAAATCTGTGCCGCTGATAAAAGTTCATGCCCCTGCAGACCCGACCGCAGCTTTAATTTATAACAAACATTCTTTTCGATGGGTGGATTGGGTTCTCCAACGAATTTTTGACACTGGCATTGCGCTGGCAGTTATCCAAAGTTCCCATCCCCGCTCCCCTTCGAAAACTGAAATAGAAAGTTTTCTTCAAAACAAAAACCACTCGACATGTCCGGCCGCAAGAATACTTGTCGCTGGTTAGCCGCAATGCAAATAAAGATAAAATGCAGAATGGGCAAAAACTGTCCAAATGCAGCAGTCCACCGAGGATGCTTGATAGCCACAATAGCAGCTACAGAAAGCAAACAGATCGTTGCTACTTTTACGCCATTTTCGAATTGATGTTGGTCGATTTCTTCGACCCCACTAGCCCACCCCCCCAGTATCCCCCTTCGGTTTTCTGGTTTACGACTTCACGAGAGCTGCCAGCTTTTGGGCAGAAACTTTTGCCTGCACTTTATGATTTTTGCGCAAACTTTTGTCAGCTCGGCTTTCTGTTTGTTTGTCGCCATTTCTTTATTGAAGGCAGGACCAGATGCTTTATGTCTGCTGTTTCCACCATATTGATGTTTATTGCTCTCGTAACGTAGCGGTGTATTCAAAAATAAAAATGAACAAAACAAAAATAATAAAAATGTAACAAAAGTTTGTGTCATTTTATCTGACTTTTTTTCAATTGCGTGAAAAGTTTCAACAAGTGCCAGCAGTGGCAGGCAAAATCAATATTTTCTATATTGATGTGTAAAAATGTATCCCTATCAAATATAAAAGAAATTGAAATTTTTACGGTCTAAGCATACGATATTTTTAAAAGCGAAATTGTGGTGAATATATTAAGACTCAAATGTTCAAGGGGAAACACTAAAAAATGCAAAAGTGCATTTTCTTTTCGGCTTGGATTTCGACAAAAAAAGAAACATTGTTTTCACATTTTAAAGTTTTAGCAATGCAGTTTATTCTATTTTTATATTTCTACAGAGAAGTTCTGTTGTTTCATATAATAAAGAATAAAGATTCTGTAAAATGGATTATCTAAACTCAATTTAATGACCGCCCAACAAGCAATTCTCCTAAAATCAAAAACATTAGAAATCTAAGTCCGAATGTTAGCACCTTGCCCGTGGACCTCCGGCACGAATGTTGTAGGTCCGGCCACTCTCGTGTGAAATCGGAGCACTAACGTATCCTGTGCACAGTTACAACTTCCGGCCAAGCACACAAATGAGCTACAAAATACATTTCCATCCACAATAATAACAGCATGTCTGCAATGAGCAAGGAACTAAGACAATAATAGAATGGTTGACTGGTCTCCGTGTCCTTTTCAGTCTAAGCAAATGAGGCCATTTTGCTGGGATAAGCCTGGGAAAGCGGAGGAAAACCAGAATGGGAGGTTTGGTCGGATGGAAAACCGTTGTCCAGTCTAAAAAGTTTCAATAAGGAAATATGGGCAAATTAAATAAATGAAAAGTGTCTAAAAAATGTAACTATAATAAGCTCGAGACAAAAAGCAAATGTTTTTAAGTGAATGTGTGTATTAGGGTGTGTCAAGGGTTTTTGGCTTTGACAGTTTTGTGAGGGTTTGAACAACAAGTAGCCACTTGCCGTTTTCCGGACTTTCTTTGGCCGTTGTTAAGCTCAAAATATTTTCATTATAAACTTTGCGACAGGTTTTCCCCTCTAAATGTGTTGCTTGTGTGTGTGTGTGTTTGGGGGTGACTGTGTGTCGGTGAACGGAAACGGAAATGCGCCATTAACTGGCAAGTCAAGCTTATTAGCTGCAATAAAAAATAATAAGCTGAAAAGTTATGTTGCAATTGTGGCATATTTTTTTTTTACCCAACAGACAGTCTATTGCGGGGCCTTTCACACATATAGTATACTTGGGTTTTCTTGTGTTGGAAATTCTTTGCTACTTACTGACTTGGCTTTTTGCACTTTTCTTTCCTCGCCGAAGGAGAACTTTTCTCCACATTGTGCTTCTGTCTGCGGGTGATTGTGTGACAGCCAAAGACAACATGCCAAAGGGGACAGCCTTTCTTTCAGTCCGCCGGCACAGAGAGCAAATTCAAGTTAATTTTATTTTAAAAATCGTGCTACAATATGTTCCCGGTCTTTGTGGAAAGTGACCCAGGCTTCCTTTCGGGCACTAACTTGATAGTTGACTCCTACTCGACACCCAGATGAGTGCGAATATGAGAACGGGAATGGGAATGTGAATGGGAATAGGAATGGCACTGAGCCCGAGAAAGGGAGAATGTGTGGACAAGACACTGAGAACTTGACAAATTGACAATGTGCCAGGCGTTGATAGGGGCAGCTTAAAGAGTCCATTGAAAGTTGATAGTGATAAAATGGCACATAGCCCGGTGACAAATGAAAATTATTAATTGCTCGCCTCAAAGAAGTACAAAGTTATTAATAGAGAAAATTAAGTTTTAGTTGAGTCTTGTTAATGTTATATATTTTTTTATTACATGTTTATTTAAAATTTACATAGCTCAAACAACAAATAATAAAAACTGTTTTTTGTAACAGTAGCATAACTTAATTTATTTGTTTAAACAACTTTTTTCGCTGTTATAAAAATGGTTAATTAAATATAAATGCATTCATAAATTAATACATTAATCCAATTACATAATCTGCATTGAGCTTATTGTGACACATTGTCTCCACATCTTAGCATAATTTCCCTTCGATTTCCTCTCCCTAACTTATTTTAATAATCATGCAATCAAAACTTATTGTTATCCATTATAATTATAATAATAATAATCATTGCTGTGGCTGCCGCTGCCATTAAAAGTTTTGAAATTTAAACACCTGTCAGTCGTTTCAGCGTTCAATGGCCCGGCCTGGGATTAATAACAAAAAAATTTATGCAACTTTTTCGACGGAAGTGGGGTGAAACTAAGGGCTGTGGAGCGATGGCACGTGTTGAGAGGGGTGGAGAGGAAAATAATTTCAATAATGTCCTGCTAATATCAGGCGCAATAACAATAACAACCGCAGGGTGGATGGTAAATAAGCTAGGAAGCTGGAAGCTGTGACCCTGCGGTCTAAAATGTATACACCCCCACAAAAAGAGGGAGTCTTCGACGGTTGGTGTACGTCTGCACCTTTCAATCATGGTTTATGCCCCAGCATTACCGTTAGACGGCAGTCGAAAGTAAAGTTTTCCTTACCTTAATGGAGCCCGAAGTAAAATAAGTTTGGTGGCGATAAACGAAGCTGCGGGGGAGCCGAGGTTTCGTAACGTATTAAAAAAGTTTCCGCTGCCAGTTGAACTCCGACAACAGGTTGTACAACATTTTTAACCTCAGTCGCTGCACCTCAAAAAAATAAGAAGACACTTTTATGTATTTTGTTTTAGGTTTCCGGGGAAATTCACCTCTCGACCATCGAATTAAGTCAGACTTCGCTTCGGTTACGATTCTGGTTCTGAGTAAACGATGTTGAAAAACTTTACTTTTATCTGTTGATACAAAGTAGGTGGTTTCCTAGTGGCCTTCTTCGGGTTTCTTAGTTGATTCTTTTTCCTTGCGGTTTGTGCACTTATTTTTTCTTAGCTTTAGTTTTCTGCTGACTGCTTTTCAAGCTTATCTGCTTTCCAAAGCGGTTTCTGTTTTTAAAAATCAACCTAAGCACTTTTAAAATAAACAAGATTGAAATACATATGAATCTATGAACCGATGAGCTTTTAGCAAAATGAGTTTGTTAATTAATAATTTTTATTATCTCTTTACCCGAACAACATAGCATTTTGTGTTTGTTCGTTCTTCTAAAAGATAAGCACAAAAATATTTATGATGTATTTAATACAATACACTATACAATGCCTTTGATGAACTAACCATATCTTTGTCCTTGAATAACTTCAATTACTTATTAGATATTAAGATATAGGAAAATCGATATTTGACACATTTGAATTGTGAACTGTTTTTATTTGTTTGGGGCATATATTTCAAGCAGGAAAATGTTTTTAGAAATTTTTTTATTCAGTTTCTAAGATTTTCTGCGTTATACAATGTCGATTGTGGGTTGTATTCTCGGAAAGATTGGGTGCATTTTCGGGCGAGTCTTTTGGACATTTCGCAAAGTCTTAAGGGGTATGGGTAATTCCATTGCTATTCCTTGATATGGTACGATGCCCCTTCCTTCAATGGAGAGAACAATAAATAAATTTAAAATTTATGCGATGAATTCTTAGTTATACTCACGTAATTCTATGAAGCAGAGTAACTCATCGTTAAAATAGAACCTAGCTGGCATAGGCATCATTTCGGTAACGTTAACGAATTTGACATACGCTTGGGCACGCAAACCCATTTGAACATTCTGATATAGTTCAGAAGGATTGGGGTACATCCTTATAGGCACGATCTGCGGGAAAATAAGGGAATTGAGATGGCTAGAACACCAACTGGACCGGCTTCTCACTTACATCAGCAGATCCTTTCCATGCGAAAATCACACTAAAATTCAATTGCGGTCGCGCTGTTTCTTTGGCCGTGAAAATGCCTATGTTACTCCCGTCCTCGTCTATGCCATACGTAAAATATTCGGAGCAATTGTGTTGCGGAAAAATCAAGGCCACTGTGGTGCCTAGAAAGAAGCATCCGAAAATAAAATAAGTGGCTGACATTCTACTGGAATGAATCTCTTTTGTCAGAGGCTTGAAGCGAACTGAGAATCAGAAGTTATCAGCTTGAAGCGAACTGAGAATCGGAAGCTATCAGCCAATGACTATATATAAAAAACGATTATTATGTTAATAAGGTTATCAGCAACATTACGATTTTTTTGTTTGTTAATAAGATTAAAATTACTTCTTTAGAAAATTAAAATCATTCGGCTATGCTTGCATAGAAACCAAGATACGATATTATAAGTACTGGCATTTGTATGTACCCTTTCCAAAGGTTTTATAATTACAGTAAGAATTTTTTTAAATATCAAGTCAATTATAAATATAGTGCTCAAATCGATAAAATTTTTGGTGTATTAATAAATATTTCAGTACTAAGCAATAAATCTAAAAACCAATGAAACACACTTGCAAAAATTGAATATAGGCTATATAAATAAAATTGGGGTCACTTAAAATTGCATTAAACGTGTTTTCCTTTCAATACTCTCCGGCGAAGTCATAAATCCGAATTTGGAATCATTGCCAAGTGAATGGTTTCAAGTTTTCATTGAAAAAATACTGTTCAGAAACATGTTCATCTGTGTGTTTCTGGGAGTGTGCAGAGTGCACGTAGAATGCATTAAAGATAAAAGCCGCTGCAGCTCGGGCAACTTCAAACTGGAAAATATGATACAAAAGACAACAGAGGATTGCCAAGATGGGTTGAGAAAATAAAGCGGGGGGTATATGCAGTGTGGCCATAATTTCCAACAGTGGTTTTTATGCTGAATGTGCATTTTACGACTTTTTAAGTGTCAGGGCAAACAAAACTTTCCGTGGGAGTCCACGGGACAACCAGGACCCCCAGGACTAGCAGGACTAGCAGGACTAGCAGGGCCAAGACCAGGACAAGAACCAGAGACAGAACCAGAACCAGAACCATACCATGCAACTGGCAACTGGCAGCTGGTGCTTTGTGCTGCCGGCGGGACACCTTGTATGTATACAAAAGACGCCAGACATATTTTCTTTCAACAAGAATAAACTTTGCTTTTCAAATATATATTTTCAAACTTTCAAACCAAGCAAAGCTAGAAAGGGGCGCATTAGGTCCAAGTTTACGAAAAACTTAATTCCATTTTTAAAGCACAAACACAAGTACACACCTACGCAAACCAGGCATGGAAAGGCAAGCCAAGGCAAGGCAAGGCAGTAGCAGTTGCAGTTCCGTTTCCGCCCGTTGTTGCATTCAGGCACGGCTTCCCCTGCACTAAGTTATCGTCTTTATTGTTTGTCACATACATGACCTCACAATTGTGTTCCTGTTCCTTGGCTGCCTCGGTTGCCATTGCTGCCTTTTGCGCTGAATGGCGATGCGAGCGGAAACGGAAATGGCATAAGTTGTTGTCGCCTACTAGTTCACACGTAAGTCCGTTCATTCAACAATAAAACGGCGTTGCAGCAGCGCTAAAGACGGTACAAAGGCGGGTTCTGGCGTGGACCTGGCCACTAAAATGGGAATCGCGTAAAAGAAAATCAAGGCGAGGACTTTGCCGGGAATTCAGAGATGGCAATGTGATATACTGAGTGCTGGCGTGCGAATGGGCAAAGTCTTCCAGGATTCTTTGTGGTCGAAGCAGTTCTTTTAGTTGCCGAGTTTATTTAAGACTTTTCTAAAAGTTCCTGTACAGTTTCGGTTTTTTGTCAAGGAGTGGCATAGTCGCCATTTTTTGAGTGTATTGTAAGTAATATTTTTTTTAACCACTTCGACAATTAATATTTTTTAATTATTTCCTGTGCGTTATTGTTATTCGTTAAAAATCGGTTTAAATCACAGTGTGACATCTCTGTGAGCCACCTGGTTAACTTTTTTTCGGCATAAATTTGCAGCTTTCAACACGTCGTATACGTAATGTGCGTTATTAAATTAGCAAAACCCCAAACGGATGGAGCTAAGAAGGGAATAAAGATGAAAAAAATAAGCGGCAAAAGGACAGAGGGCATTTCATAAAAACTGCTAATTCCTAAACTGATTTTCCCATTTCTCGATAGAGAAAGCTTAAAGTTGAATAGAAAATTGCAGCTGCAAGTTTGTTCCCTTGTTGTCACTGTATTGGATCAACCTCCAACCTCTTTAGTCCGGTCCTGATGCGAATATTCCGCCCACACTTTCTGCGTCTTCTTTCTGAAGCGTTGCACGTTTTTCTTATTCAAAAGTTATTGTGCTGCTGTCAGGAAAGTTTCCCTTTTTTCTCCACCTTTTGAAATCGCCAGTAGCGAGCCAAAATCCAATAATGGCTCAGAGAGCGAGAGAGAGATAGATAGATAGAAAGAGAGAGAGAGAGAGAAAGAAGGCAAGTGAAAGAGGGATTTACGCACACACAGACACTGGCATTGCTTTCAAATACTAATCTACGCGCTATAATTGAAAAACTAACGGTTTTTGTAACGAGTTTTTCGTGCTTTTACTGCAAGTGTGCGCATTTTTAGTTCCTCTATCCCCCCATCCTTTATGCTGCATGGTGCGTGAGCTTCGCCTACTTTCTCTTTTGCACACATCCAGCCACTTTTCCCAGGCCTCCCGGAAAACTGAAGCTCTGCTGGAGTTTTTCACATAAACTGCAACAATCATTCTTTCGCCGTCGTTTTTTACCGCTCTTAAAAACACGCGCCCATATTTTTGCTGACTTTTCGGGGTTTTTTCTATTTTTTAAGGGCGATGAAAGGGAGTTTTGCAACTACGCCGGTAGCACCTTAATGGTTATTTTTCCTTTGGGTAGGCCTTTTAAGGCATGATATTTGTAAAAAAGAATTTGTATATATGAAATATATTTCCTGTATATTTTATCCCTACCCAATACTTGAAATGTAAGGTACTATTTTAAAAACATTTTTTTTTATAAATAAGTAGAAAATTTTAGAGATATTCTTATATTTCTTATATAGTTAAGTGTGCTGAACCTTTTAAATAATATTTTGATTCAAAATCAGACAAATATTTATGAATATAAAAAAATTAATTCAAAGAAATTTTTATTAAATCTTAAGTTTTTTGCCATAGATGCGAATACAGTTAAACGGTCATTTCTTGGTGATCTAAGTATTATAACAAAAGCCAAACACTTTCATTTGTGCATATTTTAGTGGTCTATGGCAACAGAATGAATGAAAAAATATCAATGAAATTGAAAGAATATGATGACACCTTCATTGCAAGTGAAACAATGGCTTTCACTGTGTGATTGTGTGTGTGCGCCTGATTGTTTGTGGGTGATTTTTTGTGTGCGTGTGGGTGAATCCCCTTTTGGGGACCTCGTAGTGTGAGCTTTTGCGTGCACGCTGGCTTGAAACAATTTTGCACTGCACCGTTGGCCAGTTTTCTGTCGAAAAGAACGCAAACAAAACCGAATCCGAGCAAAAAGTGAAAGACAATTTTTTGAAAATTTCATCTGAAAGCATTTTGCTGCTGTCAGGCTGATGGCAGCTTTCAATTCCTCTTTTTTATGACTTAGCAGCTATATATGGCCAAGAGGATTTTGGCTTTTTTGTCACGATCTAAGCCGCGGTTTCTGTTCCGATTGCACCGTGCGTTGTGACTCGCATGAATATTGGCATTCTTAGCTTTCCAATTTAGTTGAGAGTTTTTCCTGATCGACTTTCCCCCTATTTTTTTTTTTGTCTACAAGTCGTCAGTGTGCGCGAAGTGGTCATAGCTCAAATTACCTGTCCAAGTGGCGCGGGCATTAAATTAAATACCTTTTGTCTGTGGCCATTAAATGAAACGACTTTGGTCCTATACCTAAGGGGGTTTTTCAGCCCAGGCTTGGTCGGAATTTCTGCCAAGGGTTATGGCAACGTTGACCAAAAAAAGTGCGTACGAAACAAAACAAAAGGCGCCAGAGGAAGAAATTCAATCAATTCGCACGTGACATGATTATTTTATGTTTTTATTTATTTATGGTGTATGCATTTTATTTTATTTTTATTTATTATACCACCTTTCGCTTGTTTTCGTTGTACCTCTTCAAAAAAGTATCTACAGCCATAACGTGACCCGATTCAGATTGTGGCGATCAATAACGAGGTTGGGGATTAGTTTCTGGAGCTTAAATTAAACATGCTCAATGAACTATATTAATATTAATATTATACAATTTTTTAACTTAAACCAAAAATTTTGGTTAAGAATGCGTTACACCTTTAAGAGTTCTGCCAAACTTGTTGACTTGTTTTAATTTTCAATGGCAAATAAAGAAAGGCTAATGACATGTGTATTAAATATACCTAACTTTAAAAACCCTTTTTATTTTAGCTACACCCAATACAGTAATCCCGGTTATTATTTTATTTAAGGATCCATTTTATTACCCGACCATATGCCACGAAGGAACATTTAAATTCGACCATCTGCTTTAAGGAGTGGCCTCCAGTAGAAGGCCAATCAATATGCCCATCCAACGCCCAACGAGGGCGTAGAAAATTTCAAGTTGGTGGAAAACAAAGCGGGGAAAAAAAACGGAAAACAAGAAAAAAGGAGGCTGAAACAAGATGGCAAACAATAAAGGCGTCCACAACGAACCAGCGTCGGCAACTTGTTAGTTACACTTAACGAGCCAAAAACCGTATTTAAGTCAAATCGAGGCGGCAAAAAACAAACCCAAACCCATGTCCCGGCCGTTTTTCGAGGAGTGTGGGATCGGTTGGAGGTGTGACCGTTGTGGATGTTGTTGGCTTTGGTGTCAAAGTAAATACAATCAATTTGATTGTGCTGTCCTTTTTTTTTTGGTCCTCCTATTCTGTTCGTGGTCTCGACCCTTGTGCCAGGGCCATCGATTGATAATTTAATTCAATTGTGCTGCGACTGCCATTAAAATTGGCTACTGGATGGCAAATGGCAACTCGGCCGGGGCCACATAGAATGTTAATTTCTGGGATAATGTGAGGCAGGCCACGTTTCTAAAGATTTGTACTCTTTTTTGTGGGGGCAAATCATCGACACGTTTTTGATGGATAACAA